CTTCGCCACCGGCTCTCCCTATCCCGCAGCCGAAGTGCTACACGACGAGCCCGTCGCTCGTCGTGGGTACATCACGCAGCAATAGCGCCCTGTCGGATGCACCCAAGAGCATATCCGACATGTACATCGCCAATGCAATGCCCAGCGACGCGATTGGCGTACGATCCAACATGACCGACGCGTCTGACACCATCGTCAAGACATCCTCGTCTCGTATGGCGAGCACCTCACTCACCGTACACGGCGAGCCCAACGCTTGCGATGTTGTCGCCATCGACGTACCTCTGAGCACGTCGATCGACTCATCCGCATTGACGTCTGCCACTGGTTCGACACCGCGAGAGGCAGACTCGCCTACACCTGTCTTCAAGACATCACCGCATACGGAGAGCTCGTTGCTCAACGTATCCGGCGAGATCAACACCGGTGACAAGGCTGCAGTCGACGCGTTCAGAAGCATGTTGACTGCCTCCATGTCAACGGAATGTAAGTCTCCCGAGTCGACACTGGCCGTGTCGTCCGGCATCAAGGATCCGACTACGATGGACGAGTGCTCAGCGAAGGACAGTACATCCAACTCGAAGGATGTACTGACTTCGTCGGCAGCCCCATCCTCGAGTACTGTAACCCGTGCGCAAGACAAGCCGTATCACTCGAGCTCGTACGAGCGGTACAGGCCCCCCGCACTACGTGATCAAGCTCCGATCCGTGCGCACAAAGAGTCGACCTCGGACGTGCACGGTACATCCCCCGTCAAGATGCCGTCGCCGAGCACAGCGAGCTCGTCGACACCACGGCACACATTAGCCTCGACAACACGCGAGGTTCGCGACAAGACCGCCCCGCGCGAGCACGACGGCGTGAAGGAAGGCAGTACACCCACTCTGTCGGATGTACTGTCATCCTCACGTCAGTCAGCCTCGTCGAAGACTAGGAAGCCGGGCAGGTCGTCCGACACTCAGACCAGCAAGTCGGTCAGCTTCGCGACGAACGAGAAGCTTGACAAGGCCAATGAAGACGAGAAGGGCAGTACACCTGAGCCAGGTGTACTGACTTCTTCGCGATCCACGGCCCGACCGACATCAAGTACGAGTCAACGCGATGGCCGAGACCTGCACGGACGCAAGTCCAACCTCGACGCACCTGTGTCGAGACCCTACACGTCGGATACCCGCCGCACGTACGAGGAATCGACCTCGCGCGTGCGCACGACCTCGACCGCCAAGACTGCCAAGCGGGTCGTCGAGCAATCGACGAGGCACAGTACGTCCGAATCGCCGGACGTACTGACCTCATCGTACTCGATGGCCGAGCTGGAATCAAAGCGCCTGGAGCTCATCGCCCGGTACTCGTCAGCTAGCAAGCGAGCGAGTACCAGTACGGCACAGACCGAGTCGCCACGCCTGCCTGATGGTGTGGCTACTTCGTCCCGCACCCGCACGGACCAGGTATCGCGCCACAAGAGGCACGATACATCCACGATGGATGTACCGACCTCGGTGGGCTCAACAACAAGGCCGACGTCGACAGAACGCTCACGTCCGCTGACGGAACATGAACAACCTTCCGCGCGACCAGGCTATCGCCGTATCCACGAGGATTCAACCTCGCGTGTACGCGACAAGACTGTCGCCTTCACCGATTACCGGGGAGGTTCAGTCCAAAGGGGGGAAGGGAGCGGCACGGCAAATCGTGACCGCTTGACTCGGACGAATACCAGTACATCGAGTCGCGATGTACTGGGGTCGGAACGAGTAGACGAGACACATGTGGTCTGGACATCGAGCGCGAGGCTTGATGTACAGACCCATGTACCTGCGACGACATTCTCGAAGCCGAGCATGTCGCGTGGTATCTTCGACATGATTGGTACCATTCCAACAGCGGGCGCGCGCTCCGAGTATATTGATGATACTCGGTGGCCGACTGCTGAGCACCTGCGAGCCGAGTGTTTCAGTTTCGTGACCGACCGGTTCGAACTCAAGCTGGCTCAGGCTGCGAAGGCCGAGCAAGCTGGGGACTGGAAGGCATGGGCTGAACTCAAGGTCAGCGGCCTCGACTGGGGAGATGTCCTCAATGACATGTCTCCGCGACCGGAGTCGTACACCCGAGCGGCTCAGAGAGCCCGCGATCACTTCCAACGGGCTGTGGAAGTGCGGCCGATAGACTACGAACTATCGTGGTCCGAGCCTCGGTTGCTACGACCACTCCGTGAATGGGTCTATGCTCAGCTCTGGGATCAATCAGTGCCCTTCGTAGCTACTTACCAACCAGCAGTCGATGTTACTGCTGGTAGGTCAGTATTCTATGGCATGGGTGGTGGATTTGTCCCGACTTCGACTTGGAGTCAATCAGATGGTGATGAGTCTTACGATTCCACCCCTGACATACCATCTGACCACGATGATGTTGAGTCCGAGCACTCTCAGGCTTTGGAACATGATGGTGGTCCAGGTGATGACGAGGTCGACTCAGTAGTAGTCTCTGATGACTATTATGAGTCAGACTCGTATGACCATAGCTCACCTATGGCCTCGTCTGCATCTGGTGCTTCTGCATATTCTGCCGAAGACTATGATGACTATGATGACGAGGATGGTGACTATGATGATGATGATGGTGGTGACTACTACTCAGAGTAGTAGTCCGCTTTTTGAGGCTCTCCTGTATGCCTGAACACATTGTATGTTCAGGTGCAGGCGAGTAGTACGCTGGCGCGATGATATGTTTTCTTTTCTTTTATGTTTCTTTCATACCTGTTGCAGTATGTTCTACCACAGATGGTTGAACATACTCAATGCCCACGAGATCATGCTGTGTACATCCATATGGGATGTTCACTACATTGATTGCTCTATCTCGGGTACTTTCAGGATGTAGTCAGCTCACGGAGACCCTGTGGGCGCTACATAGATTGCTGTGTTCCGAGACCCGGCCCACAGTTTATCTTACCTGTACCTGAGGTGAGTAATCTCTTACAAGAAGATATGCATGGTATGTTCTCTTCATTGTCTTTCGCTGGGACTCGCGAGACGAGTCCAGTGGGGGAGAGTGTAACGGGTCTATTCGGGTGTCATCAAGACCTACCCGTTATAGTATATCTTATCATGTATGTTTGGCTATGTTTGCTCTCTCGTCTCGTATGGCGCGCCAGCGCACTTACCTTAGCCTTAACTACCTCACTATTACTGCCTAAAGATGCCCTATGCGTATACGATACTCTCCTGAATAGAGATTGGATACACTGCATCTGCGGGCGTGATTTGAGTACGTTACATAGACTGAACCGTGAACCAACTTGTGATTGACTTGTATCCCTGCCTGTCAAGGGCTCTCGCGCGCTCTGCGTATCGTCGCTTGGTCCGTGGTGCATTCTTGAAGTAATGGTGTGGCCGATTGTGGCCTGCTCGGTACGTCGTCTCTCTCGCAACCGCCGTGTTGTGTGCTTCTTGCAGTGTCTCGCTAAAGCGCAGGAGTATCGCTTCGCGTCCAATTTCGGATGTATCGTCCATCTCGATGTCACTGTCTTCACTGCACTCGGATTCTGAGTCCGAGACAGAACCATTGTCCTCAAATGGTTCATCTTCTGACGAAATCTCTAGGTATCCCTGCTCATCATTGAGCTCGCTATCAAGCGGAGAAGGCGAAGCGATGGTAAATGAAGGTGTGCTTGCACATGGTTCCTCCGAGTCGCCGGCTTCTCGAGCTTCTGAACTGGTTCTGACAGAGCTGAGGTGGGGTTCATCACTTGTTCCGTGGTGAATTTGGGCTGAGCGGGCTACAGCTGCATTCCTTGTGCGAGCGATGCGGGCCTTGGACTTCCTGCCCATGTTAAAGCGAAGTTCTGCTGGGTTTATTGCATTGTTTCGTCACACTTTCGGTGGGCGCCACGGTGGGCGCCTAGGTCACGTGACTGGACAAACTGCGTCGGCCAGAATTCCTGAGCCCTGCCGTTTCTTGACGAACACGCAGAAACAAGTGTTTCCGTCAACTTGAGGTCTTTCTGTAATTCTGCTATGAATTTTACATGTACTGTATTTTTTTTCTATGGATCCCAACCCAAGTCAGCTCGTAATCAGTGTCCATAGATCAAATGGGCATAAACCATAGGCTGCCCGATGTTATTGAGGTCGTCGAGGTTGGTGGCGGGCGGCTTACATAAGGGGGGGTGGTACCTGGCGTCCTCTACCTTAGGCTGTATGCCAAACCTTGCGATCAACTCCCTCGCCGAGGCTTAGGGTGTCACCACTAGGCTGTACCCTGCACACAATTCGATATTTAAGCTCGTCTGCCACAATTCGTAAGTTTGCACTTGTCACTTACATTCGGAATTGCACTGGTTTGTTGATGACATCAGTGAAGTCGCTCCTCTGGACGCATCGACGAAGTAGATCCTTGAGACCAGCCACAAGCTCAGGCATCGTTTGACCTTCTATGTTGATCGGTGTCCTGTCGGACATGGGACTGCGTTGCATAACAGCTCGCAACTCCTCAATTGTGGCAGGAACCTCGTCGATGCTCGCAGAGGTTGTTTGACCGACCCATTCGCCTTCCCAGATCACTCGAGGGATATATGCAGCTGAAGCCGAGGGTTCAGTCACTGTTCGCCGAAGAGCTGTTGGCATCTATGTGCGATGCATGATTAGCTCTTGCTTTTGACGAAAGGCAGTACCATACCCATCTGTTTTCTGAGTCGTCTTGCATGAAATCGTCAGCAGCAAAAGCTGAATAAGGCGACCCTGGCTCAGTGGTAGCTAAGAGGCCAATTATTTCACTGTTACGATGGTGTGCAGTCTGCAAGAGCGCACCATCAAGATCTAAGTCGCATCCCTCGCACAAAGGAAGTGGGGAGCCTTCAGCCTGGCGCGCAGTCGGGCTATCAGAAGCAAACTCGTGATATAGTTTGCTTGCGATGCATGTGTGGGTCCGGGGTATGAGCCCATTGGAGTGCGAAAGAACAGCAGTAAAGGTCTCCGTCGCCACTGATTGAGTTTTGTCAGCCAAGTCGGAACTATAATTGCATTCGGCTCACCAAAGCGAACGATGAACTGGTTACTGCTACTCATGCAGTATTTGCGATGGCCGAAGAGCTTCTTCGCATCCAATAATGTCTGGATCGTCTGGGTCGCAGTCAGCGAGTGCGGGACAAGTCCAATATGTTTCCCGAGTGCGCTGTTCTTGAGTTTGCGGGGCTGGCCCTTGTTCCGCAAACCCAACAACTGGAATGGTACCTGCTCATGCTCGTGCAGAAGGTGTATTGCCCAGCGGAGCTGTAGCTGAGTCGGGTGGTCGCGCATGGCATCGAGCATCAGCTTCGCGAGAACTACCACAGAAGTCGACGCTGGAAGTTCAAAGTCTACACAGAGACCCCGCTCATGAAGATTAGTTGCCCATGTATCTGCTTTGCAGTCGTAGACCAGAAGCTCGGTCCGATCACTAGTCTGCAGCCACAATGAGCTCAGGATCGATGGAGAGGATTGAGCGACTCACTGGTGCAGGATAAACCTGGCATTTGATCTTCACAAGGTCCTCGCCTCCGTTGCCAGCAGCAGGGATAATATGAGCATCTGCTGGGCGCGGGAGTACTGGGGCTGGCTGAGCAACACCTCGGGTCCGCGGCCGACGGGTACTCAATGATCCCGCAGCAGCGCGCGCTGCAGGCCGGGAGGCTTGTGTAGACTGGGAGGACGACAAGCAAGCATGATTCACGCGCGGTGCAGCACCAGGCTCGAGGTGGTTCAGCCCTAGAATTGGCTGAAACCCAGATTGAGTCGGTGGGCTGGCCTGCGGTGCAGGATGGTCGGTGGCAACACCAGCCGGTGGCAGCCGACTGCTTGTATACGGCGCGAGGCTAGGAGGCTGTAGGTAACCGGGCTGCAGCTGAGATGGCGGTGGTGCGAGCCCAGTTGGGCCAGCACCCCACGCGGAGAGATTCGGTGCGACGCCAGGCAGTGGACCAATACTCGGGGAAGTGCTCGCCTGCAGCATCAATACTGTGTTAAATAACAGAATCAATCATGAATGTCTAATCGCCTACCTGGCCTTGAATTCCCGCAGCTGGGGCAACAGCCTGAGGTAGCGATGGAGGCTGCAGGTTCAAAGTGGGAGGCATCTGAGGTGGTCCCAACAGAGGACTCGGAGCTTGAGCTCCATTCGGAAACATCATGGCAGCGAACTGCCTCATGAGGGACATCTGCTCGGGTGGCAGATTGGAGAAATCCATAGTTCGTATATTCACTACCGAGGTATGCCAACAATCAGGAAATAGACAACAAGACCTATAGAGCTCACTCACCAATGCAAGCCTGGTATACTGCACAGAAATATGATCGTCCAAATTAAGGGAGGATGAGGTAGTGAGTGGTATCGTCAGCTTAGAGCTATAGCAAAGCAAAGCGACCCAATTCAGAAGGTGTTCACAGAGCTATTGGTTGCCTAGAGCTTACCTTTATGCCCACTTATGGGGTAATTATTTACGGTCGAATCTAACGAGGGGCGAACTAGTTCGAACAGCAATCATTGAGCCTGCAAATCGCTGCGACGAGGGTAACTCGGAACCCCAAATTGCGACTCACCAGTTGGCTAAGAAGTGATAGAGTAGGGTGTGTATAGCAGTGCGACTGCCTGTCGCAGGTTAAAGAGCAAGTATGAGCCCCGACAACAAGGTGTGTCGTAATGAGGCTACTGGAGAAGAGACAGGCAGCGAATGCATGAGTGGCTTGCCAGCTCACAGGCCAGATTGGGTAACTCCGAGGCATGGCCGACCTGCCAAATTTGGGGCAGCGCACTAAAGTCTAAGAGATGAACATCTGCATCTATACTCTGCAGCGGGATGAACAATAGGGGAGCACAGATTGCCAGACCAGAGCACACAGGTGATGAACCTCACTAGACTCTCAAGGCTGTATGGATTGCCAAAGTGTATGGACGACATGTAAGCTATGGTGCCCAGCAGACAAAGAGGCTAACACTACATGAGAAGGGCGCGGGTGGACTGACTATGGGTATAAATAGGGTAATGGCACGGAGAACGAACATAACATGAACATGCGAGAGCACAGGGAGGTGGGTGTCTGCTGCATGAGAGACCAGCGCCGGGTATGCAGAGTGCGATGAGGTGCAGGGCCCTATGATATGTAGAGGACAAGGACAAGGACAGCATGGCACGACAAGACTCACCTGACCCGCAAGGAGTCGCCAGGAAGTGAACCGCCATGTCGACAGCTGCGCATGGAACGAGCCAGCCAGAGTCGACATTGGGACGTTCGTCGATGATACGCACGGTGCGATCAAAACCATGAAGAAAAGAAGGCGGGGAGGGCAGGGCACACACACCAGGCAGTTGACTCTGGTGTCCTCCTCGAGCATGAGATCAAACGCGAGGCGCACGAGGAAGATGACACTGGGCGGCTATTCCTGCTCCCGCCGACGTCGCAGATGTACCACTCTGAGCCGGGGAGCACGGCTGCGGGGCATAAGTTGCCGCCTGCAGAGGGTCTGAGACCGACACGCACCGTTCTCAATCGTGAACCTGCGCTCTTCGGCGCCGAGCAGCGAGGGTGCGCAGCCGCGCGCGGACAATGTCCTCTGAGCGGTTGAGTGCATTTAGTCAGTAGAACACACGGCGTGCGGTGTCATTCAGGAAGCTGCGAACGTGAGCGAGGTCCACCACCGAGTCTCAAACGACGCATAAGCCAGGCATGTCCTGCAACCGCCCTCCCCTCTGCTTCGACATGGCCCTCGCGACGGGTGGCGCGGCATAAAGCATGATGTTCGCGGCATCAGCCATATCCATATGTAGCCGCGTCGAACCCTTGCTGCCATTAGACTCGGAAGATGCCATCGTGTTGTACATCTTCGGCCCTGCGTCCAATATTAGCAAGCCACGTTCAATCTGGAGCCTCCGCAAATGGAGTTGTACTTACCCAGATCAGGAGCGACTGTATTGCCCGGGAAATGGCTGGCGCTTTCGCGCGCAATGACGTTGAGAATGTCAGACGTGCGGAGGGTGTATTCGCCCCGGCGAGGCGACATCTCGATCACAGCGCTGGAATCGGAACCGTGACTGACAACCTGCGTGCACTCACAAGTCCGCGTGCGTATGCACCGCTTTCACCGGCCCAGCAACAGGCATCATGTCCTCAGGGCGGTCCATCACACTCCTCGCGCCATCGACCTGGAGCTGCGCGATGATCCTATTCGACTCGAAGGTCCGAGGTGCGGAAGCCCGGGCCGCTGCATCGCGCGTCTGCATTCAATATGCAGCGGACGCAGATGCGGAGGACGACTTACCGGCCGCGGCAGTCCTGCGTCGTGTTTCCGCACGTGGAGTGCTCGAAGTCGCGCGGCTGGCCATCCCAAGGCTTCCCAGGGCTCTGGCAGACGGCGCCGAGGCTGCGGGGACGGTTAGCGAGATGTGATGGGTACACTGAGAGCCCGCGAGGACTGACGTGTTCGGGCTGGTATCGCCGACGTTGGCTAGGGTATTGGGACTTAGATGGATGGGAGGGCAGGACGTACATTGGGTGAAACCGGCGATGAAGTTCGTCTGTCCGGGTATTGCGTCCGGCTCAACCATGGCTGCGAGGCAACTCTGTCAGTGCGATACACACTGCGCGTGAACCGCGGGATGCCTACCCTCGTATAGGTAGGCTGCCATCCCCTTGTTATCGCCGTTGATGAGGGTGTTGTTCTGTGAGGTACCGGTGAGTCGTCAGTTGTGCAGTGGGGGTGCGGGACGACGGCGCGCGTGCGTACCTGATACAGGCTCGTGCCATGAACGGGGAAGAAGCTCAAGAACCCCCTCGTGCTCCCCTCCGCGTCCTCGAACCGCAGCACCGCCATCTCCTTATCCACATCCGCTTCATACTGGGCCCTCTCCTCCTCGGGGTTCGCCAGATACGCGCTCAGCGACCTGTTGATATTCGCTCCTACCATGGTCGCGTTCCCGAGCCGGAGCGAGGCTCGCGTGCGCACGCCGGACGGCGAGGACGGTGCCCTCGACGATGGCCTCTGCGGTCTGGGGGACGTAGCCCAGCAAGGCGATGTGCGGGAGGAGGTTCTCGAGGTAGCCCCCGACCCCCGCGTGCGAGTGCGTCGCGACGAGCGCAATGTTTGTGTGGGTGTATAGGTCAGGGTATTCGTGGGAGAGGCAGTGGATGATCGAGCGTCGAATGCCGGTGTCGCCCATGCCGATGTCTGCGGGGATGAGTGTAGGTGTGAGAAGGTGTGGAGAGAAAGGGATGGCTTACCGGCGTTGATGAAGACGACGCGGTTGGAGGGCTCGGAGGGGAGGCGGGTGAGAAGGGCAGGACACGTACCGAGGAGGTTCCTGATGCGGCCTTTGCCTGTGCTCGAAGTAGATGTCCTCGTTGGTTCTGTGGCTGATGGCCTGTCCGTCCTTTTGCTGCTGGAAGCCGCGCGTGAGGCCTTGAGATCCCGCGGGATGCGATGAAGGAAAGAAGCGAATGTCGGGGAGGGGACCGACGCTGCATGCGGCGCGGGAACGCACGGCTGGGACGGGCGCTAACGGGGCCCAGAAAGGACCAACTGGATATCGCCCTTGTGCCGCGTGTGGCGAATCTCTGGCTACAGCAGTGCGACCATGAGCATTACAGTGACTGTGTATGTAAGTGCTACAGACTCTGGTGCTGCGACTTGGGTACAGACTGTTTGTGACCTAGGACTTCGGTGTTGCGACTTGGCGGATCGGGTCATGTGACTTGGGACTTAGGTGTTGCGACTTAGGCCTGGGTACTTCAGTACATCGATCCTGCTGCAATGCACTGTAGAATAGGTACTAGGGGTGTCTGCCTCCAGACTTGCGGCTTCAGTATTGCACCTGAGCGAGGTAGGAAGTTACAACTTGGAAACTTAGAAATGTGCAAAATCGGGACGAGGACTTGGGTATGCGGGCGATTCGCGGACTTGGGAGTTGCGATCGGCCAGATAAGGACGGTCTTGGGACCAGGACTTGAATAAACAACGAAAAATACCTTCATACCCGCAGCTGCCAGGAAGTATCACGCGCTCGAAGCACTGATCTCGAGATCAGCTTCGTAGTCCCCCGTCCTCTTCAATCCCAGCTGTTCGATCGTAACAGCTTTTCGGCGTAGCCTCAGGTAGAGCGTAGTCGACTCCGAACGAGTTTTGTGAGTGACGGGTGTGCCAGTGAAGGTGTTGGTCTGAGTTGATGCGCGTCGCGTCTTGGTCCCTGAGGTCGCTCTCCAGCGCCTCTGTTCCCTCTTGTCGTTCACCACCATATCGATCACCGTGCACTGTGCCATTCAGTTGCAGCATCGTGCGCCTCTACTAGCTCACCGCGCTGCGAACGCTGGCGACATATCTGTTTCTCCTCAAGCCCAATCTTGGATCTTGCGCCTCAAGATCAACATCGAGGATCGACGCTGCCCTCAGTATCAACCTCCATCACACGACATAGCAATGGCTGCGTCTGCGAGGCAAGTACCACATGCTCAACGTCATCGACCTCGCGCGTGCTCGTCACGCGTCAAGTTGGAGGGCACTACGTGTTATGCAAGTCACGTAGTTCTTGCCCATCCCTCCCCGCCCTGCTGCCCTATACGCGCTTCCTGCCGGTACTTAGCCTAGCCAGTCGTAAGCACTGGTAATCATCTTCCGCAGCGTCATGCGGGCTCATCGGGCCTGTCGAGCGGCTGAAGACGAACACATCTAACACGCAGGTGAATCTTCACGTACGACTCAACCGTGGAGGGGCATTTCTGAAGGAGTAAAGCGGGTAGTGCAGCGTACGTCGCTTGAGGGTTGAGTCTGTATATCCCGCTGATTGTACTCGAGCAGGCAGTATTTTCCGACCATCACGCGCACCGTGGCTGACTTATTGCTTGGGCATACCACATAACGTACCCATCGCTTAGCTCGCGCATATATGCGCGCGATCCTAGTCATGCGATGTCGAAACCAAAACGATGCTGTGCGCTTCTAGTGTTTGCTTGCTAGATAGGTGGACACTGGAAATTTCGGAGACGCGGTCTGTCGAGGAACGAGCTCACTGCAGGTGTCCGCTGGTTCGCTAAACTCAGTATGCTGCTTGCCGTTTCCATTCACAGAGCCGCGTCTTCATAGGACTACCAGGCCATCAGCCCTTATCCTCATGTAGCTTCATCCCGGTTCTGCTTAACGGTCGCTCTGGTATGCTGCATTTGCTCCGACTATGCTCTGCGGCGCCAGCTAACCTCCGGGAAACTTCAGTTCTGCGATTCCGCCACACGGATCATACTCAATCGGTGAGTGGTCATCCCTGAATCGAGTCGTCGCGCTTTGTCGCTAAGTGTACTTCGCCGTGGCTCCGACAGCTCGCTGCAGCACACGAGCGTCGGCTTCGCGAGCGCGGTGCGTGCGAGCGGCGCGGTGGTTGGTGGGTGTCTTGTGGTTGCGAACTGTCTCATGCGATCGAGACTTCCGCCAAAGCGCGGCGGTGTGTCGGGGAGGGGGAGTCGAAGTGCGCGGCGGGGGTGGAGACGTGGCGGGGTGTCCATGGTACATACTACTTCCGAGCTGTCCGCCCTTCTCTACACCCCTTCGTCGGTGCGCATCCCGCTTCTGGCTTACGATTCCTGCCTCAAGATGCGGCTAACCCGACGTAGATGCAGGGCCATTAGGGCCAGCACGCAGAAGCGGGTGTGTGTTGACGCGCGGGAGGTCAGTCCGAGTCAGAATGGGACGCAGGTATATCACGGTACGTCGCAGCGCGTCGACATCTGCTTTGAAGACATTTTGACTGGACTAAAGAGGGGATTTTTTGCCGCGCTCTGTCAAGTCAGCTATCCCTCCTAGTCTCATATACACACCACGCAGAGCGCGTCGGCCGTCGGCGATCACCTAAGTTTCTAGCTGCGTGTCGGGTGGGCCAGAGCCCGCTTCGAGCCATCGTGAAGGCGCGCCTGAACATACTCCAACATATCATGATGTCGCAGATCCCTCGTACGATACGGTCAGAGCGGGGACAAGGCAGACGGCAACACGCATCCTCGCAAAGTCACACATTCGATACGGTCATCCAGGCTGTGAGTTCAGCTCAGAGGTTGAGATTGGCCTGTCGTTTGAAGGTGAGATATTACAGACTCGAAGGCCACGCTCGCTCACGTTCTCACGTCACAGGGAGCTCGCATGATGGGCACGGGGAACAGCTGGCCAACTCCCAGTCTACGCGCGGATTCTCGTCAGTGTCCTTGACATTGATGCGTCGGACCTGGTAAGTGATCCCCAGCTGCAGACCGTCAATCTCTAGGCCAAGGGCAGCCGGAAGAGGGCACGGAGCATACAACAGCAGCTAGGAGATAGTACGATCCTTTCACTGATGCACGGGCCATGTACTGTACATGCGCCACTTAGGTTCAATACATTGCTATGGTCGCGCCGAGCGCTCAATTGACGTGGACTCGCCACTGAGGCGGTCCGAGCAGAGCAGGACAGAACCTAATATGCTTCTAGATCTCACACGAGGCCTGCTCGAGGCCGTGTCGTTGATGCGATGCATCACATTCAGTCGTATTCATAAAGGATTATCGCTGCGTGTGAGTTCAAGAGCCACTTTTGCGTCGCCCTTCCTGATACAATCTCTACGCTCAACCGGGGCATCCCTTCGATCCTGATTCACGACGTTCGTACTCCACTGCCACTTCCTCTCCAAGTAGTGTCACTGTCGCGCTCACGTCCGACGCGGCTCAATTAGAGGCGCCTTGCTCCGGTGAGATCACAGTCGTATGTTATCAGGCAAGTCATCGTCTGATCTTTGCGTGGTGTCAGTAGAGTATCTTGGCGTCTGCCGTCGGTAATTGGATTGAACGGCACTCAAGCTTGCACTAGGTGAGTCCGTCCCAGTAAGGTGCGAGCTCGCATGATCAACTTGCATGGCCGTTCAGTAGATGGGCGGTACCACGCACAACGAAGACGAAATGGCCAAGAAGCTCGAGATTTACTACAAGCCGCCCACGTACTACTCAAGGTGCGTATCCATTCTATGTATGCTGTCCAAGTATCAGTGAAGGTGACACATACCAATTATGCTAACTTCCTGTGCGTGCAGAGACAACTATCCGCGCTTTGCGCACGAACTTGTCGAGCGCATCGTCGACTTCCTTTGGGATGATCCCAGGGCATTTGCGGGGTGCTGCCTCGTTTGCCACGCGTGGTACTGCGCTACACGCCCGCTCTTCCCTACGATGGCGGTCGATCACCGATTTATCCATAAAGAGAGTTTCATGCAATACTCAAGACTCCTCGCCCGACCAAGATACTTGCCCTTTTTCAAGGTTCAAATCGCATCGCTGAGACTTCATGGAACGTTCGCGCACTCCTGGGTAATGCACATTCCCCTAGGTTTGTTACCTCAACTATCGCTCCTCGTGCTCTGGTATGCGGATTGGGTGGCTATCAACCCCCAGCACTTCCTCCGTCTCTCGAATTGCAAAGATTCGATGCGAGTCCTGGAACTTCGTTTTTGCCGCTTTCACCACGCGCTCGACCTTCGCAGGATGATCAATGCACTACCCAACCTCTCAGAGGTGCTTCTTGATGAAATAGCATTCCAGCACCCTTCCCTTGGCGTGCACACAGTCCGCCCACTTCGATACTCCTTATCAAAATTCGAGCTCAACAACGTGCGCTCGAGACGCGCACTACAATTGTTGACATTGCTCCATTCGCGAACATGCCATCAATTACGAGAATTTGTTATCTCGCTCACGGGCCGACCGTGTGCAGAACTTATAGCACATGTTACCAGCATACTGCAAATTACAGGAGCTGCACTCGAGAAGTTCTTGTGGTGGCATCTTCAAGGTGAAGGTAATGTTCCTCAGCGCTCACTGTATCTGAAATTCATCATGATTGCTCACCGACGTAAACGTAGCCTTCGAAGCCGTACCGCGATTATCAGCGAACACGTCACTGGAGGAACTAGACCTGGCCCTGTGCCTTCCTTCGTCGCCGCAGATCATACAAAGGGCTCTCGAGGCCTTGCTGTCCGACATCACCAGCCCGCATCTGCGGCGAATTTCGCTTTCCATCTGGCTCAACCAATCTAGAATCCTCCAGGATGCAAATGAGGTCCCTGCCTCCCCAGCAGACACGACGAAGTCTATTCCCACATTCCACGCCGTGCTTTCGCGCGGCATCTATGACCGGCTTCCAAAAAATGGTGTTGATGTCTACTTCTCTATGTCAAAAGTAGAGCCAGAGGCTAACCACATAATGTCTGGGATCAAAATCCACATATTCGCTCTTTTTGCACCGTGGTTGGCCCGTAACAACGTTCTGAAACTCAAGTTCGATCCCGATCCCGATCGAACATTACCATTAACACTTCCTTGCTTTTACTCTGAGGTGAGGCACATTGCTTCTTCATCCATAAGCCCGGCTGCGACTTGCTCAGCCCGCTGATCAGCTCAACCCAGATCGCATCGCCGGATCAGGTCAGAGTGAGGACGGTCGCAGGAAACGAAGACGTAAGTCGGGGGGCGTAGATGCAGAATGTGAGGAGGCAGAGAAAACGGCAGACGATGGACGAGCGAGTGCAGAATTCCTCGCGCAATATGTATGCCGTCGTTTCAATATCTATTCCGAAATGCTACGCTAGAAACACGGGTCTCGGAAAGATAAGCACGAGCTGAGCACTCACGTCGTGTCTTGGTGACGCGTTGAGTAGTGTACCACATCAGTCTCCTCATCGGCCCTACACTGACAGCTTCCGGCTCCTTCCACAGTCGTAAGGCTAGACGATAACCGACCGCAGGGCACGCGCCGCGAGACCGTTCCAATGTATCGCTATCCGTCTCCAAAGGGAACCATCCTAGCGTGGCGATGGGCAGCCTCCCTCTGGCTCTGTTCTACGTTCAATACACACGTTCGCTCTGCGATGGGTTCGCCCCCTTACCTGCGAGCGGTGGCGGTAGACGGCTCTCGAAGTTTAAAACGCTTCGGCCATGGGTGAATAGCAGGAGGACCACTGTGGTTCGTACTCGCGCGAGTCACACGGTAACAACGTACTAACTTTGCGCTGAAGTTCTAGTTAGCATGCGTGACTACCTGTCCGATCTTGCCACCACCCGGCTGCCTCCGTACATGCCCAACTGTGTGTACGCTCTTGGCTCCGATGTCCCCGCCGTCTCGCGCAGTGGTGATCTTGTTCACTGGGGCGATGTTGGATCGCACGTGTATGTACAGCTCGCCTGGGTCGAACGAACGCGACGGACGACTCACGCCGCGGCTTGACAATATCTTCTCCACTATCGCGGGTCCGTATTCTTGTCGACTGCGAAGAAACTCTGCGCCTGGCGTGCATGTGCGGAAGCAACGAAGAGCACTGGGTCGGCTGGTAGAATGAATCGTCGCATCGTAGCCGAAGGGCCACGCCGGAGCTTAGGGCTCGACAACGAGCAAATAGCTCGTTGCCAGCACAAGCCTGCGTCGTCGGAAGTGTCGAGCAGTGAATATTTCGAGCTGCCAGAGCTGCGTGGATTACTAGTACGTCGCCACAAGATATCCAAGGCCCTATCTATCCACGAAGAGTCCGTCGAGTTGCGCAGGCTTCGCATGCGTCCAGAGAGGAGAGATGTCTCTCTGAACGAGGAACAACGCCGATCGAACAGATCGCGCGTGATGAGATGATGGAGACGCGTGCCACCACGAGTGGTTGGCTGCGTATCCCACTGCTGGAGAGACGGCAACCGGAGGCGTCAGCGATTGAACGCGGGGGGGGTGGATGAACCTCTTCATACAAGCTAGGGTGTAGCCAGCCGTGGCCTGAGATTGTTCATGAGAGAAAAGAACCTGAGAGACGAGCGTGAAAAAGAAACAGTGTTCATTCAGGGTGCCTACGATACGTGCGAGGATGCATATTGGCTTACGTATGATGCATGAGTCACCACGTCGCCGTGTGTTCTAGGCATCTTCCGCTGGATTTTGCCAGGAGACATGTGTACTAACGACGTATAGGCTCGAGCAGAGTGCACGCGCGGATACCACGGCGTTGCTGCAGCGCGATGATACACAGCTGCACGCGCAGAGCGAGGATGACGAGGACCTGTCTTCCGTCTCGCTCGTCTCGCCACAGGTAATGACATTCCGCAACGCCATACCGCATCGACGGCTCCGAGTCGTCTGAAGAGCGCGTTCATCGCTTTTTGAGCACCGCTGTGGGAAGTACTCATTGAATCGCATATGATGCACCAGTTAACTCACATCCCCCTTCGTCCCCAGGCCTGACTCTAGAGACGGGCACTCGTCCCCGCGAGAACATAAAAGTCCTCACTTCAATCCACCACTCCACACAGCAATCCGACTACGCATATATTTGGGTAGAAACGGGACACGGTGAGTGCTAGTCCGTACACGAATCACGTAGAGTCGCCGGGAATTCTGAGTGGAGGCTAGGAACCCGAGACAGATCGTGCGTACAACACGACCCAGTCTGCGTGAAGACGGGAGATCTGTGTCACGATCGCTGTGGATGAGCACGCCAGCAATGTGAAGCTGATTGGATGAACCTTACAGTTGGACACAGCCACCGTTCATTTCTCCTGCGCGTTCGCGGGTATATGGGGTTTCGCAGCGAAGAAGTGGGGAAATACGGGCGAGAGGTGAGCGTGAACGAACCCGACATAGCATCGTACCTACATGCGGTAAACGGCTGTTGCATGATCGCCGTCCAGTAGGGCACTGATCTGCGTCGAGCTCTGAAGCGGGTCCACGACAGGTGAGTCCTGACCCAGCAGAACTTCTGACGCGCTAGAATTCAGATGGGATACGGCAGGATTTGATTGCAATGAATGAACATACAGTATTCGGTAGAAGATAGGCGGGTCGGCGATAAGCACGGTTGATCTCGAGCTGTGCGTGTCGGACCACAGAACTGTATCTAGGTTGAAGCATCGAGGCGGAAAGGCGGTAGTTCTTCAACATCGGGTAAGCTACTAGACACCGTGGAAAGCTAACAGGACATACCTCGCATGCAGCCACGACCAGCTGTATGTATGGATTGACGGTAAGCCAAGGTTCGAGAGCACGAACGAGTCCGTCCATCCGTCCCGCTCATCCGTCCCGCTCGCCCACGCGCAAAGTGCTACTGTACCGTGTCGGTATGTGGCACTTAGTTGGAAGTTTGACCCGACCTGCAGGAGACGACTCGGGGCTCTGACTAGCAACGAAGATTCTGATGCAGCGAGTAACTTACCAAGGAGCGAAAAAAACTTTGTTATAGAGTGTCGGCTGGTGTACGAGCACACAGAAGAGAGGTGGAAGGGTCGCCGCAACAACCCGGGAGGAACGAGTGAGGCAATCGGGATAATCCGTGGTCTCCGAGGGACTGAATCCGAGATCAGCTTCGTAGACACAGAAGAAAAATTTGACCACACAGATACAGAGGACCGCAGGCTATGCGTCACGATGCACAGAGCTGCGGCTCCCGCAGTCGTCCTGAATATGACCCAGTGTCCAAGACCTCGTTGCAGGAGCATCGCGGTGGCCAAACGTGCGAGCTGAACGTACGCACGTTCGTCATGAGCCAGGAAGGTAACCCGCCAATAGCCCCGAAGAATACTAGGACAACAGACACTCGTGTTACGCACCTCGCATACAGCCATAGACACGTCCGCCGACTCGACACAAACTGGGTCTCGCATCGTCGGCACGCGTTCAAGGAGTCAGTGGCATCACTACGCGCAGTCCACTGAAACAGTAAATAAATGAGAGACTGTGTAACGTACGAGCAAAAACTTCATGACTGGGCACACTACTCACTAGGCAAGATATCCCGCGACCCACTCCGTCGCGGCGTCGTAGTCTCATAGGTCGGTTTTGGCGAGAGTTAAGGGAGCTCACGGTGTATTGTCTCCTCGTAGATATGAGGCACAGCATGTATGAAGCACAAGGCATTCGTCGAGTTGGAAGGAGGTGCGAATGCAAACAATCACCGGGGACGTCGCTACAAGATATACCTAGTATACACACCTCGTAGGTAGCCGTAGCCTTCGCGATACCCACCTTCAAACCCACCTCGCGATACTTCTTCGCGTATTTGAGGCGAGTATCGATGAGAATTGCTTGGAGGTTGTCAATAGACCTACCCAACACCGAGGACATTGGGCAGCTGAACGGACGCGCTTGCGGGGTGCGGTCCTGGACGTGCTATCTCTTCTGCGCCTACGCGGTAGCCTGGATTCATAACTCGTCCGACACGCATGAGCTGTCCACTGATGAGGGCAACTGACACGATCAGGAACTGCGTGGTAGTAGGGAGAGGCACGTACATACCCGACGGCCGACTCCGTCCGCCCATCCTCTTCGATCCCAGCTGTGCGATGATGACATCCTGTGGGAGTAGCCCCAGGCAGAGCGTAGTTGACTCTGAACGAATGTTCTGAGCGACGGGTGTGCTAGTGTGAGTGTGAGTTGATGCACGTCGCGTCTTATGGGCACTCGCGTCCAGGTCGCTCTCCGGCGCTTCCGTTCAAGTTCTCTTGTTCACCGCCATATCGGCCACCGCACACTGCGCTGTTCAGTCGCCGTTTGGCATCGTGCGCCTCTACGTAGCTCGCCGCGCTGGAATCGCCAGCAATGCATTCGATCTCCCCTCTCGTCCGACCTTGGATCCTGCCCTTCATCGGGAATCGACATACACTGCCCTCGGTAGTGCTTTGGCAATACCCAGAACACTGACTACGACATACCGATAGTGGCGTTTGCGAGACAAGCACCACACGCTCAACGTTGTCCACCTGGCGCGTGGTCGCCAAGCTGGAGGGCACTACGCGTTATGCACATCACGTAGTTGTTGTCCATCTCTCCCCACCCTGCTGCCCTATACGCGCTTCCCGCCAGTACTTAGCCAGTTGTGCTGGCAGCTGTCTTCACAGCATCATGGGGGCTCGCCGGGCCTGTCGGGCGGTTGAAGCCGCACAATTGTATCAAATACGCGGGTGAGCCTTCGTACTCGTTCGACTCAGTCATGAAGGGTCAGCGGAGTATTTTTGTGGAGCAACAGAGCGAGTTGTGCAGCGTACTTACCTCGCTCGAATGATGAGACTCAAAATCTAGTCAATGATATTCGAATTTGCTTTCTTTTTTGGCCATCACGCGAACCGTGGCTGATCTGTTGCACAGGCACCCGCCGCTCAGCTCGCGCATATATGCACGCGATCTTGGCCATGCAATGTCCTAATACACGCCATTGAATGTGCGCTTTGAATTTTCGCCAGGTGGACAGACCGACGCTGACGATGACGGAGGAGTGGTCCGGCGACGAGCGAGTTCAGGCATCCACTGCTCCACTGCACTCTAGTGTTACTTACGACGCCCGTCGTTTGCGGTGGCGTCACCGCGTCTTCACAGGCCTAAGAGTCTGACCTCCGTTCCGTCGCCCCATCCGGGCTCGGTGCAACAGCCGTCCTGCCATCCAACGTTTTTTCCGACCGCGTACCGTGGCGCCAGCTAATCGCCAGGGGACTGCAAAATCGACGTACAAATACAAACATGCATTCTCCAGGTCGTACCGCAATGTCAGCATTCATCGCCACAGAACGGACGAATTGGTGCGTCCAAAGACCTTTGTCATCGCACTGCCACCTGCACCGTTTTCTCAACTAGATGCATGGCTCGATCACGGTCTCCTCTCCTCGTACGGCCGCGATTCTGATCACTCGAGCGACGAACGAACATGACGGGGTGCGCCGTGACACATGACGGCCCGCGGATAGACCCGCCACTCGCAGGCTCAAATCCAGCAACGTGGTGGTCAAAGGGATGTGTTAACTCTGGCGTAGCCGGAGACGTTCTCTTTCATCGGCGAGCGAGTGGCGGAGGTCAGCGCGGGCTTGGTTTCGGAACGGACGAGGCTCGTGGACGACGCGCAGGGGTCCAGTCCAGAGGGGAGAGGAGTTAGGGTGGACCGATCAGCGACGTGAGTGCTACGCATGCTCTCAATTACTGAATCACTCCTTCCTCAGTACTCTTCATGTGTAACTCTTTGCGGGCGGATTCCACGCACGTATGCCCTCATGTCAATCTCATGATGCGACGTTCGGTCACTGATCGCGTTGGGTCGTCCGTATCCGAGTGCGCGATCATTCGAGGTTACTTAGTTAAAGTGGGTTATATCCTGTCAGCGAATGTAGATGCTGAGGTGCGTGATGGTCAGGTTATCACGAAATACCATTAATCCGGATTCGTACCCATCTGTGTTGGCGCGTTCTGCAGTTGGCTTGGAGGCCGCGGCAAGGCGTCCCAGCGTGCTGACTACGAGTCCATACTCACACATGCATTGCCACGAAATAGTCGTCCTGTCCGCACACATGGTGTAGAAACCAGGATGTATGCGGTCCACTAGTAATAAATATTAGTCGCTGCCTCAAGCGCAAGCGATCATACTTCCGAATAGCATATTGACCAGTGCCGACCCGCAAGAGACCTGCACGTGTGTGCGTTATGGGGTACTGCGTGTACATCATGGTATGCAACGGAGACTAGTCGTACGAGTGCTATCAGAACGAATCAATCCCAGGACATATGCGAGGGTATTGCCTGCTAAGCTGTGAATGCGACGACTCGGACAGAGGACTCAGACTGGGAATTTAAACAAATGGGTACGGTACATATAGCTGTTTCTTCAAATGACGTATGTACATAGTGCGAGATGGAATCAACAAACTGGCACAAAGGGCGAGAGATGGTCGCAGGTATGGTCGAAGGACCAACAGTGGAGAACAAGAAGAACATAGAGCATGGCCGGCCAAGTGAATCGGCCGGGTTTTATAGCATAGACTCCGGTGTCGAGCTCCGGCAGTATCGCGGCTATGTGCGAGCACCGAACATGAAGCAGCTATCGTATGCACCGTCAATATTCAATATTAGGCGTGCTCGACTTCAAGCCGCGGCGGGATCATAGCACGCTGGTGCAGATAAACAATGCGCAATGAGAAAACAATCGTCCTCGTAACAGTGGCAAGACTCACCTAGAGATGTCGCCAGGTATTTTATAATTAGCTTGCATCGAACTGCGCCAGGTGGACAACGAAATCGGAGGGGTTGCCCGGTTCATTCTCTGGAATCTTGCTCTGATGCGGTGGGTTCAGAACGACTGATCCATCCGGGAGCAAAATCTGCATGACTCCGCGGGATAGCCATGGAATAAAGAGGGATCACGAAGGATCTGATGGCCGCGGAGATGGATAGTTCAAGGGGTGTTGCTTCGGAAGGATCTGGAGTGAAGTGGCCACGGGAGCGGAACCGTAATGCAGCGCCCAGGGCACGCAGGTTAGCAAACTTGTCGCAGGAGATTGCAGTGTGGAAGGGAGTGATGGTCTCCGAGCCAGTCGTGTCCGTATTCGTGGCGAGGTCCACAAGGTCAAGATCCTGTAGTCGGATGCGTATCTCGATACTCTTCAGACGCGGGCTCCTAACTTGACTAAAGAGAGAGAGGAGAATCCTATAGATCCTTGATACACTCCGCGAGCCTAAAGCGAAGGGCATGTCTAGCGTGAGAGTTTCGAGCCCAGTACTGTATGAAAGGAGAGGCGGAGGGGCCAACAAACACTGCTTATATGTTAGCATGTATCGTATAGACAGCACCGTGATGGGTACGTGGCACTCACTTGTAATGAGACAGAGGATGTTGGATTTCCGCTTTGATACATAAACTTGCGCAGAATCGCCCCAGATTGTTGTAACACCTTCGTGATAGTAGCTTGCAACGTGGGAGATGGTGAATCCACGAGCTCAATCTCAAGCTCCTGCAGCTTGGGACACTGGTTCGCAAACTCTTTGAAGAAGACCATCGCAAAGGCCGAAGACACACGCGCTAGACCGATACCGGTGAGTGCCGTGATGTCTTTCGCCGGTGTTCTCAATACGGCTCCATCAGGCGATAGACTCGGAAGTTCCCAGTCCGGCTCTCCATACAGCTGTATGTGTCGAGGGGCGGGGAAGGCGTAGAGGAACCGCACGAGGTGAGGAAACGAGAAGAACTGGGTCGTGTCCAGCCATAGCTCCTCCGTGTTTTGGTACAAGACCAGGGCATTAAGTACGCTGTGATGAAGGCACTCGATGCTGGCAGTCCCAGAGGGATAGTCGACGTTGACAGATCCGTAAAGCCGCAATACACGGAGCTTGGTTGTAGCGGGCAGGGAATCTTGTTCCGTAATCTGCAAGGCTGGTGGCGCAGATTGGATCGTGATCGAGCTGAGAACCAGTGCGTCAAGACTAGGCAGAGAACGGGCAATAGTCCGGACGGCATCGACATGGCGAAAGCAACATTGGCGGAGCGATATAGTCGTGAATGTTGCAAAGTAGGTCAGGTAGGTGAAAAATGTCGTGTGAGGTCTCTTTGTGACCCAGTCTAGATCCGTGAAGTCGATCCACTTGATCTTCGAGAGAAGGCATCCAGGCACACGCAAAGAAAACGTGTGTGCGTACGGCTCCTCGATGTTCTCGTGAACATAGAGTACTCGCAGTATTCGGCCGTATCGTCCATTGATCTTGACCATTCAAAGCACCGCAGCCCTGAGCGACTTTGTGCGCATTCTCATGTCCATCTCCCCCGAGAGATGGCGCTTTGCGGCGTAGTACCAAGCACGGCAGATGAGAGAACATCTGGCGAGCTGTACGGGCTCGTCCCATAGAAAGTCGGCGATGAGTTCGATGAGTTCGTGTGGCAGAGCAGGAGATGTGTTACTATGTTGCCTTGATCAACGGCTAGGCAAACGACAATGTAGAACAGCCCGTACCTCGCATAGATAGCGGACCTGAATTGAATATCAATATGCTCTTTGAATTCATCGGACATTGTTTGCGCTCGTCGATGGATATCTGCTAGTCTCAAGTCAAATCACAAAGTGAAGACGTATCATGGATCAAGCGCACCTTGTGACTACGGCGCGATTAGATGGAGACGGTCGAACGATTCGCAGCGAGTTAGCTATGGGTCCCTACGGACAGTCCTGCGAACACAGATATACGTCAATCTACAACTTCAATGCTTCAGCAAGGCCGCTTCTCACGTACCCTTGTAGGTCGACCACAATACCAATAGTGGACCCGACAACCGGCGCGAGAAAGGGCGAAAGCCAGCAGTGTCGCAGTAGGAAATATCGACGGCAGAGCGCAACAGCAGCGGGAGGGGGGTCCATTTCAGATGGAAGATAAGGACTCGGACGACCCAAGGAGAACGGCATCTCCGCGCAGTGCTTCCGCGTCAATGTGGTGTCCTCGCACGCATACACCGTGTACTGGGCGCTACCACACGAGCTATGCCGCGTACTGCCACACTCCATGTTTTGGGCTACCGAGTGGCAACGCTAGAGATCTGTGTTGGGAAGGTACGTAGCTCGATGATCACTATAGGAGCAGCAGATATTAGATAGGTCGGAGCCAGAACGACGAGACTGGAATCGGCACTTGACAAATCTTGAGTCTGTCAGGCGCCATGATGTCAGCAACACATTGAAATAAGAGTCTTAGGAGTCGTCAGCCTCTGAGATGGTACATCGAGTATGAACGTTACTGCGAGAAGTGGCTGGCTGCTCACGGCGAGATCGGGCTCAAGACGATGGTGATGATGCAGCGCATCTAGGCTCGCGCGCGAGTTGAATTCGTTGAGTAGACGTGCAGTATGGGCCGAGGCAGCCGCATTCCAGCTATTGAAGATTGCGACGCGTGAAGGAAACGGAGAATAGAGGTCTCAAATCTCAAACGTCAGCGCACTCACGCCACAGCAACTCCTACTAAGCAGTCGGCAGATGCAAAATAAAGAGCAGCACAGGACTCAGCAATAGCTCTGCACGATGCGAGTAGACAGCCGGACGTACATCAAGCCAGATCAAGCTGCTCTCCTCGAAGACCTATCCCGGTCATCCCCCAAACGTGCACAGGCTGGCCCCTCGAAAAAGTTTTCGGACCCGACAGGCTGGCAGTCTTCGACAGCTTCCACGACGTACCCTGAACTCATTAGTTGGGCGGTCTACATGTAAAGGAACGCCAACGAGCGAAGCGTTCAGTTGAACCCATGCTGACGCCAAGAATCAGATCATGTCGCATGGCGATAGCATTGACAGGAAGAGTAGTATCGTAGGTGAGGCTATGAAGCATCATGAGCGCTCACAGAGATCTCTCGTCCATTTGGCCGTACGGAGCGCAGCATTGGGTCTCGAGTCAACGGCTTGCGCATATCTGTCAACGTCAAATGAGCCCAGCGCCATACACGCACCAGCAAGGCCGAACACGCACCAAAGGCATCCTCCTCGTCCCTCGAGTTCCGCCCCAGCCCCAGACTCTCATAGTACTCCCGCACCCTCCGGTACACGCTGTACCCCAGCCCCTCGTACATGCCTATCGCGACGTCGTTCGTGCACCGGACGTAGAGATCCACGAAGAACCCGCGGTAGTTCTTGTCCGAGACGCGCTCGAGGTAGTCGATCATCTTGCGGGCGAGCGAGAGCCGGCGGTACTCGGGCGCGACGGTGAGGGCAGTGATGTGTCCGTGCCATTCTGTGTCCTGGCCTTCAGCCTTCCCCAGGACTAGCGTAGGGCATTGCATGTCAGGAACTCTATCGGAATGAACGAAGACGAACGTCCTGTAGCCCATCATACGCCCGTTTGGAGACTCTTCCACAGAGCACAAGTCCGGCCAACGCGACAGGTACTGAAGGTAGAAGTTGATGCCGTACTGAAAGAAAACCATTCAGTGGAGTTTCGTTCGGACAGCGAGTCGATTCACGGTCTCCGTCCACAAATCGAGGTTGCTGAAGATGGTCAATCTAGGACCTGCAATGGAGCGCGAACTCTCACATATGGTTGAATTTGAACATATCCGTTGCTTTGAACGGCCTTGCGACGCTCATGTTGAGAAAAGGCGCGGTGGCGTTACGGTTGGATTTGGTTAAGAGTGGTTCTGGTCGAAACAGAGTCGAGGACGAGAACGAGGAGGCGCCCGATGAATCGATCATTGGCAGTCTCCGGAATACAGCGCCCGCTGTCGTTTGAGCCGACACCTCGCTGCGTTCGCATATCGCAAGACTCAGTGCAGGACACACCTAGCATCCCGCTCCTTCAACAACTTCTCTGGAACCGTCGTCACCACATCCGATCCGACTGCTAGACACAGATGTCGTTCATACTCATCCCAATATGGCAACTGATGTCACTGTACGTCGGTTCAATTTCCTTGCCGTTCTATAAATAGACTCCGACAGTTCTTCTGTAGCCTCAGTGGTACGCACCTCTATTTTTTAAGTCCTGATTAACATCATTTCCCATGGGCATACCACATATCCTGCGCAATGAGCGTGTCGGAGCCAACGCGCCTTCCACGTGACCGCGAGGACGTGCAAACTTGCGCGAATTCGAGCGTCCGCGTCGGGTGCCGACACTGCGGCACCGTGTTATTCTCGTCGCATTCCTCGATGGCCACCAGCAGCGGCGCGACGCCCCATGTCAACGATCTCCAAGAAGCCTAACATCGTAGGTGCGTGGCACCGGCACCTTGACAGCAACGACGAAGCTGACGTCAAGCGCCTCAGCGCACTCCACAGATGTGGTCCGCGGGTTATACTAACTTATAGGCGAGGAGGGGTCCTATAGGCCCCAATCCTCTCTCGATCGTTCTTGTCCCTGTTCAAACGTTCACGATCCATAACGACCAGTCTACGCTATACCCCGCACAAACCCCGCAACCCTCGCCATGGCCGACCGACCGAGCTCGCAGGCGTCCACCACACCTACTGCTGTCGACGACCGCGGGCACGGCCATGTACCCGACCACCAAGACTCGCAGAATGTCTCCGAGAAGCAGTCATCCGTTAGGAAGGAGCGACCTACTGTCGCAGTCACGCATCCAAACTCGAATGACACATACGAACCCATCCTCTTTTACGACGAACCACCTCCGCTCAACTATACCATCAAAACCGGCAGCCGAGAGCGTGTTATAATCATCTGGTTCACTCTTCTCTTCGTCGAGTCTGGCATCCTTCCTCTCATCTTGTTCTACTCGCTCTCATGGGGCGCGCATCTAAGCACCACGAAGAACCTTGCGATCATCACGAGCCTCATCGGCACCGTGTCCGGATTCAAGTTCGCGCAGCGGATGTGGTTCCTATGGTTCATCCGTGACCACGTCAGTCGGAGACTGATCGGTGTTGGACGCTGGGGCGTTGACTTCTTCCAGTGCGTAGCGATCACATATTCGCACTACTAACCTGACCTCGACGCGCAGATACATCCTGAGCCTCGCCATGGCAGCGTTCTTCATCCCGCTCATTATCGGTTCTTCGGTGTACGTTCCCCCTTCCCTGCTCGATGCTGTTGTACTGATCTTGCCGTGCAGAAACCCGGGGAGTCCGCGAATTACGGCGATGGCTCTGCCATGCGTCATGCTCGTCCTGACGCTACCGCTCCTCATCACCGGCATCTTCCCCTACCGAATTCGCGTACCGTGGCGTGTTTCTTCCTTCCCGCCGCGTCAGCCCCTCCCTCCCCTCGGCTATTGCTACGTCGAGGACATCGTCGCAGTCGACGGGGGTGGGTGCACGCAGTTCCGCCAGGTGAGTTGCTATGTACGTGCTGTCTGCGCTCACTAACCTCTTTTCAGGCCTGGCGTACCCGCTACGAAGAATCGCAGGTCATTCGACACATGGTCCGCCAGCTCTCCGTTCTCTGGGGAGTCTCGGGCCTGATCGTCGCCGCCGGCGTGCTCGCGGCGTGCTGGACCGCGAGCGTCGACACGGGCTACGGGATCGGCTACGGGAATCCGTGGCTCTGGGCGCTGCCCATGACTGCAGTGACCGTCGTGCGGGTGCACAACGAACTGGCACGCGAGAGGCGCGAATGGGTCGCACGTATGGAAGAGGTGCACCGCGCGCGGAGATTGCGCATCCGTGAGGGGAAGTACGACCCGCCCGCACTGCCGACGACGGTGGACGAGGGTCTGCGGCGGGACCTGGACGCGCGGCGCTCTGTGGACTGGCGAGACGCAGAAGGGGCGGAGCATCGGAGGACGGCGAGCGACGGGAGCTGGTGGGTGCGGAGTCGGAGCGGTCGGAGAGGCGTGCTGAGCTCGCCGACGAGGAGGATGAGTGGAGGGAGGGATGGTGAGGGTGTGGCAGTGCCGGAGCCGACGGTGACGAGGGATCTGCGGAGTGTGAGCCCGGGGATCACGTTGGGAGGGCAGACTAGCCCTGTGTAGGGCCAACCGTGGTTCTCCGCGTGTGGTAGGTGGTTGGTGAGTGCTGTATAGTGTATGTCGACCACTTGGTGTTTATGACGACGGTAAATCTCTGGAAGTAAGTACGATTAATGGACCTGGAATGGATTGGATTAGATACACGGCTACATCACTTTGCGTACTTGGCTTACGAGACGGTCCTCTCGTTCACCGCGGCGCTTCTCGTTGCTCGTAGACTCTGGCAAAGGCTCCGCCGCATCCTACTAATTATGTAGGCCTAGCACGCCCCGTCGCAACATGGGAAGTTTGAGACACGTCTGGAGTAACGAGTGCTTGCGCTCGAGTTGTACGCACCGGGCCGCGTGTCTGCGTCTGTGGGTCAGAGCCGAGTATGATGCAGTCTCTGTCGAGGTCAAGGCGTTCAAATGCATCGCTGCTCTCAAAGCCACGTCAGGAGTTTTAGAGAGTACATGGTAGTGTCTCGCGTGGGTGAGCGCTGTGCTTCGCGCTTTCCGACGTGTACCATGACTTACCTGTCTGCACAGCCGTTGAGCCTCGGCGTCCGAGTCTCTCTGCTCGTTGTTCGGTTTGACTCGGAGGTCGCGGGAGTGGTTCATGTTGAGGAAGGAGGTACGTTCCTCGGGATCAGCAGATTCAGCACGACATCGCCTTGAGCGAGCATAGCCGGTGCCTGGACAGGACTCGGAGCATTCCTCCAACTCTTCGAGCAATCTGTGATGACGAGTTGCATCGCGGAATTGCGGTGCACCTTGGAGAGTGTATTGGTGCGGGCCAGGGCTTTTAACTCGTGCTCGTGCGACTCTCCCGGGCCCTACGAAGTTGGCTGGTACGCAGTCAAGCAGAGCAATTGTCGAAGCGAGCTCCCCGAGACCAAGGAACGGGGCGCAGAACGAGAGGTATGTGAAGACGCGGCAAGGTTGTTGCAAACACCGTCAGCAAAGCAGCGGACGCGTCGGTCGCCGCAGGCCCATCTCCGTCATTGCCGGCGTCGGCTTGGTTGCGTACAAAGCGGTGCCTATCCTCGGCCTGGTATAACCAGGACCGCGCACATATATGCGCGAGCCACTCCCTGCAGGCTTAGACGGGTATGATATGCTGTATGCTGAGGCATCAAATCAGCTACGGTACGCATACGAGTCAGAAACGAGTACGTACTCGAGTATGATTGACCGAACTGAGCAACACAAGCTGCAAAATCACTTTCTGTCGCGTAGAAAGACTCCGCCGACCCTCACAGATGCATGGTCGACTCCTGCCAACACCGCCATGAAGACTGACCTGCCTGTTTGATGCATCCACACAGCTTCAGCCGTGCGACGAGCCCGGCAAGCCTCGCATAGTAACGGTGGTAGAACGGATACAATTACGACTCGGACCGACGAAATACTGGTACGCAACGCATACATATAGTGTGGCAGGGCGAAGAGGGATGGACGACATCGTGACACCGAAGACGCACCGCGTAATGCCCTCCAGCGGGACGATCATGCATCGTGTCGACGATATTGAGCATGTTGTATCTACGTAGCACGGCTAGTGTTATGCCGTGGTCATCGTTGTGAGTATTCATCGCGACTGAGGACAACGTGAGGTCGACGATCCTCGATGCTAATTATTGGAACAGGAACAAAGGATTCTTGAAGGGGCTGGCTGAAGTTCGCATCAAGTGGCACAGAGATATCGGCGACGAGTGCAGCAATGCGAGCTGCGCAGAGAACGTGCAGTACGAAAGAGTCGGACGTCGGGAGAGAGGGTGAACGACAAGAGCCTAAGAGAGGCGCCGGCGTGGACGTAGCGCGGACCTGCGCGGACGCACTGGCAAACGAAGTTTGCACGCTCAGGCTCTCAGACTTACTCTCTGGTTGCTAGATCCGCCGCTGGCACTGCTGACGAGTTCCTGGCAGGGTGAGTGGGAGGCAGTGTTGCTGAGGCATTGTAGACTGACGCATGCCAGTGTCCGCCGTCTGTAGGGACTGGAATATCATAGCCGAGCTCAGGCTAAATAAGAAGACACCCATTTGACACAAATCAAGTCGTATCTCTTACTAGGTGTGTCTGGTGTGATGATACTGCGTCTTCCCATTGCATTCTAAACTGGTCCTGACAGGTAGTCCTCAAACGCAAGGAATGTCGGATGAACTTGAAGTCGGACGGAATATCCATTTCAGGCCTGCTGTGTATGCGAGGTAGAATCTCCTATTTACTTCGATCGTCGCCGTGTCGTTGAATTCGCAAACCTGGATGTAGCGACGGAACTCCAACTCTACCACAAGAAACCATCGAAGCCATCGCTGAATCCCTACGGGACGAACCTGTGCAGCTCGCCAGATGCTGCCTCGTCTATTGTGCTTGGTACTATGCTGCAAAGCGCCACATCGCCCCGTTTCTGGGAGTTCATACCACGAGGGCCCTGGGAGACATTGTGCGCATTCTCATGTCCAAGCGTAATTGTCGATATGGACGCCACGTTCAAGACCTCAGGATATTGGAGAATCCCGAGGAGCCATATGCGCAAACACTTCCTTTGCGTCTTCCTGGATGTCTTCTCTCGGCGACGATACGGCTGACATTCGTCCGGCTAGACTGGAGGACAAGGCCGCCACACACGAGCTTCTACACCTACCTAACGTCCTACACATCCGTTACTCATTTGTATCTCTCCCGATGTCAATTCCGTCACGCTGGGGTGCTCCGAACTCTCGCTGTCGCCCTGCCTAGTCTTGAACAGCTTTCTCTCTCGTCAGTCACGGTCCAGTCAGCACCGCCGACCTTGCATAACACGGGGCAAAACCTCCTGTCACGCTCTGCAAAGCAGACGCTCCGTATGATACAGTTGCAAGGATCGGTCAAAAGCGACTACCCCTCAGGTGTCGAGTATCTTCACCGAAGTGTACTTGACGTGCTGATCCTCAACGCAAACGTGGAGACGCTTTTGCTGGACACACCCCAATTCCTCTCGTTCCGGGAACTCTTGCAGTTCATCTATGCCTTCCCCGCCCTTCAACACATACATTGTTTTTACCAGCCAAGCTGGGAGCTCTCGAATCCATCGTTTGGCGGAGCCGGGTCGAAGACCTTGGCGAGATACGTGAAAGAACTCGCCGCTGTCTCTCTATCGCTTGTGTCTTCGGCCTTTGTTACGGAATTCTTCAAACTGTTTGCGAACCGGTGTCACAAACTGCAGGTGCTTACAATCACTCTCTGCCCTCCCGTACTTTGCAAACGGCCATCAGCGAGGTGCTGCGACGATCTGGGGCAATGCTCCGAGAGTTCAGATGTGAGTACGAAAGTCAAAGGTCTTCCATACCACTGCAAGTAAGTACGCTATATGGCCCTGTATTGGCTATATACTAACACGCCGGCACAGTTTACCTTGGACAATGTCCCTTCGCTCTCATACAACACTGGGTTAGAACATCTCAGCGTGACCTTCGTTGCTGGCTCGTTACTGAGCACGTCGTCGGTTTACAATACACTCCTAACGTTGTTCTCCCAAATCAGGGCCCCGTGTCTGAAGTACCTATACATCCACGTCTACTTGCAAGACCCTGACGCCGGCGCCATTGCCGACCTCACCCAAGACATGGGTATGGCTGACTCAATCTCTGCGGCCGTTTTCCATGCTGCAATCTCTCGCGAGACCTTCGGCAACCTCCGCCCTCGAACCGTGACACTGTCGTTCAAACACCATGCCCGCTACTCGCCGGCGGAGACCCAGCATTTCCACGCAACACCGCTTGACTTATCCATGTCCGAGGCCATCAAATGCTGGGCGGTTCCCCTCTTCATTCCATGGCTATCGCGCGGAGCTATGGTGCTTGGGCTTCCGGATGGATCGTTCGTCGTGGATCCACCGCACCATAGCGAGGTCCCCGAAGATGATTTAGACAACCCCTCCGGTCCTGATGTTTCCTTTCTTGGGAAAGCAAATAGGTGACTGTCGACCAAAGGTGATGCGAGCCTGTTCTAAGTAGTCAATGGCATGCTCATTGTATTTACGTCAGCCGCGCCAGAATTCCTCGACAGCGTAGAATCGAACACGGACACATCTCGGCGACAGAGGTATATAAAAGCCTCACCCGGCGTAGTCGCGTCATTGTCGTAGCTCGACCATGAATATCTGATGGTGGGCCCTGTACACGCTTATCGTTAGCACTTATCGGTTGGTCTTGCTTGCGTTTGCGATTTCTTTGGCTTTCCATAGGTAATTCGCGTTCGCGTCAATGTCCGTTCTTTGCTAGACCGTACGCGTGATGACCCCTTACGTCCCCCAATTCATTGGCTTCGCTCTACTGTAGGTCATTTGACAAACGGGTGTATGTACAGTATGTGATCATTTCGAGTTCAGTTCGTCTGTCGTTCCATTCAGTGAATCTCTTGCTGCTCGTCACAACATACCCCGATTGTCCCCAGCTTCATCTGTACTTTGATTACCCGTACCAAGCACGCACTGTCCTATATCATAAAACTACACGCAACTGCACATGTCCTCGGGCAAATCCAACGGAACATGCCCCGAGGCACAGTTACGTGAGCACTACTCCCTCGTACTCGTTATTGGCTTCCTGCCACGGCTTCGGTTCGCGTATTCAAAACTGGCCTTCGCTATCCTGCCGCGACGTATGGCCTCGTAGTCACCGACGCTGGGGCGCGTTCCCGCTGCCTTCAAGCTGAATGCAGAACGCGCTAACACGGAGGGCTGCGAAACAAGGACAATGCCATTTCGTGCTGATCTGACCATCACACGCATTAGCATCACATTCGCTGACAGGATACAACCCACCTCCCCGCGGGAAGCCCTGACCTCAAACGATCGCAGGTTCGGATACGGAGAACCCGAACGTGATCAGTAAACGAACATCGCATCATGAGACTAACATGGGGAGGAGGAGCGTGAAACGCTGCAGCAAAACGTCCCGAGAACAGTACTCAGGAACGAGTAGGTCAGTCACCAGCACTAGAGAGCGCGCGTAGTGCTCACGTCGTCGATCCGTCCGCACGGGCTCCCCTACCCTCTAGAGCCAGTAGGTTTCGAAGCAGCGATACATGTGTCGTCCGCGAGACCGAGTCGATGACCTGGTTATCACTTGTGTGTGCACCATAGATGCTCGCCACGTCCGTTGCGTACCATGGGATCTCTTGCGGTCTCGTATCTTCGGCTGGCCCATCTTGATAGGTCGTCGTCGGTGGCTGAGGTGTCTAAGTTCAAGTCGGGCCGGTGGGTTCTCCAGCGCGATACGTCAACGTGGTGTACGGCGCAGCCAGCATGTCCTGCGAACCGTTCTGGTAGGTACAACATGTCACGGAGACGGCCCGTTGACGAGCACGTTCGACTCTCCTCGGACAACAAGCCCACGTCACAGTTCGACGACGAGCCTGCTGTCAAGACGGAGTGGTGAGGGCCCCGCCAGCGCACAAACCGTCGCCTGTGGTATGTCGTCCACGTATTTAGCATTCACCCGACTAACGAGTTCATCGCGTACTTACCCGCAAATCCGTTTTTCCAGGCGACATCCTTAGAGATGCGCCGGTTTGCGCCGCGTCCAAACAGGTGAGTTCTTCTCAGCCGCAGGGACACAGTCGCTGACGACCTTTCCCCCCATCTGTTCCCTGCTGCCCCAGTTGTCGCTCCGTTGATGCATTGGACAGACGTTGACTTGTAGTAAGCGTGTATCCGCCCACCTCGATATGGCTTCACGGCGGGTACTGACGATCTTTCGTGACCTGTCCCGTCGCTGCGACTGACGGTCTTGTTCCTCAAGCGGTGACACTGCGTGTACGACCGCCATTGTACCCTCGTATGACACCCGCGGCTTGCACCCCATGAAGGGGATGTCCCGAGCTGGCCGCTACGGCCCTCTGTCTACTGATTCGGGAGTTGATTGCCTGGTTTATGCGGCACGTCGCGTCCTATAGTCTCGCTCAAGATCCTCCACGCGGCTTCACGTGCGGGGTTTGTGTCGAACCTATCGCGTCCTATGCCTTCCGGATCTGATTACGTCGGGCGGGTAGTCCCGCGCAGTAGAAGGAAGGTTCCGACGACGATGGTGGGCTGACCGACATCGTGAACGCCCGAACATCTTCTCACGCCGGACAGCTGTGCGCGGGAAGCACAATGCTCAGAGCGACGTGGCGGATACCCGAGTCAACGTGCGACTTGGTTCGAGTGTCCCCAGCTCCGTACGACACCAGCCTGGCACGTAGGCAGACGCGACGGCCTGCCCTCGCACCGAGCCTCCCTACACATTTACCACTCGCGGTCAGCTCTGCGCCGGGACGACGGACGGGTCCTTGTCGTGGCACGCACGAACTGCCAGCCGGACACGCAGACCGCCAGGGATGCTGGGGAGCGACGCGTACGATCGGCAGCGCGAACGCGCACAGCTCCGCGCCGCATACACGTAGATCGTGGGTAGAGTAAGGGCGGGGATGTAGCATGCGGGGTGCAGGGTCCTCGCGTATCGATAAGTATGGTGTGACGAACGAATTGAGTGGCGGGGTGGCCGACGTCGGAGACTCGTGGGTGGTTGGGGGCGTGGGTATAGCTGGAGACAGTCGAAGGGGTGGAGACTTACTTGTAGGACGGCGCAGAGCACGGTTTGGTCCGCGTGGCAGACATGGGTCACGCCCAGATTGCCGGGAGTGTGACCCAGGGTGTGTTGTAGCGAGTCGGAGTCGCGCGCGATGGTAAGGGCGAGACACCAGAACATCCAGGACACTGGCTGACACGGGGTTTGTCGAGGAGGCCTGAGACATGCTGCTATGTGGTGGCCGAGTTTGTGCGCGGGAGGTGCCGTATCGTGAAACTGGGATGCCGGGGCAGCACCGGTAGGTGGGCAGTGCCGAGGCCCGCGGCGCGTTCGCGAGTATGCGTGGGACGCGCGTGGTGTGACGTGGTAGGCAGGGACAGCGGTGCTCAGCCGGGCGTCGTGCTTGTTTGGAGGGTAAACTGATTGTTTGGAGGGTGAACAGCGCCAGGGCAGAGGCCGTCGACTGTGCGCAGGCAGAGCGAGGTGGCGATGGCGGACAGCGTAAGAGGTCAGCGGGAAGCAGAGGCGGGGCATCGGCGGCGCGGCGTACTCACAGCTGGGTCGTAGTGAAGTCGCAGACGCGCCGTGGCGGACTGCACAACGAGGAGGTCGTCACGGTCGCCGGCGAGCAGTATGCGCCCCGAAGCGCCTACAGCAGATTCGGAAAACCTTGTCCGACGCGTCCCCGCGCGTGCGAAAATTCAAATAAATCAAGAAAATGACGAAAATGCGGAAAAGTCTAGGAATCGCGATACACGCACCGTAGCCACTATAGAACACCGTGTATGCCTTGTTACAGGTTCGTGGCGTATGCGGCATGTCTATCGAAGGCAAGTTGAGGGTGATTTGAAGGTTGTGCGATGGTCGACGTGGCGGGCAATGTTGGGCGCTAACGCTCACTCCCGGGGCATTCACTCAGAATCACTGCAGAACACCGCTGTGGGTACTCAATATGACCCGGAATGTATGCGTGATGACTTAGAGACATGGTTCTAGATAGATATAACCTGAGAGGAAGAAATTTGTGCATTTAAAGGGGAACCAGGTCAAAGACTTGCCTCCCCGAAGTGCTCGCATTGCCAGTGCCAACCTGAGATGGCCTACTCAGATTATATCTTCAAGTCTTGTTCTCAAAGCTCTCAATAAGTTGTCGGACAGTTTGTGTTATTTCGCCGGGAGTCCCGAGGCCGCAACTTCGCATTTCCGGCTGGCCATGAAGCTTGAACGCTATGAAGTCTTACAAGACAGGAATTAGTCACTGGCACTGAAGACAGGGCTGAATAAGGTCTCGGCTTCCTCGAATATCGCTCTGATATTCATACTGTCCCCATGTCGATGTCGGGCCCAACTTCAACTTGAAGTTGAAATCGCCAGGCACTGTACTGAGCGCTGAGCGTTGAGGCAGCCCTCCTGATTATCATTGTCCAACAAGCTACTACATCTGTTACATACAATGAGAAATACATTGATACAGCTGTACTCCGCGCGCTGTTCGGGCTATATCGAGCACCCGACGACACCCACAACTGCATTTTGCAGTGGATGCTCCTCGAGGAGTGAGCGTTAGCGCCCAACATTGCCCGCCACGTCGACCATCGCACAACCTTCAAAATCACCCTCAACTTGCCTTCGATAGACATGCCGCATACGCCACGAACCTGTAACAAGGCATACACGGTGTTCTATAGTGGCTACGGTGCGTGTATCGCGATTCCTAGACTTTTCCGCATTTTCGTCATTTTCTTGATTTATTTGAATTTTCGCACGCGCGGGGACGCGTCGGACAAGGTTTCCGAATCTGCTGTATCGAGACGCGACGCGTCCATGCCCGCAGGCGACCGCTGGGTCCAACGAGCCAGCTCCTGCCGTCTCCCGTTCGCTGCACTGAGGAGGTCGAGACATCCAGCTGTCCGATCGCATACCTTGCCCATACTGCCTCGCTCTCCCTTAAATCTAGCGGCCTTGGGAGACGTCGTACACCGCTCTGTTCCACCCATTCATCCTCCCACTGGCCCGGGCACGACGAGGACTCGCGAGTCGTTGGCAGGCGTGTTGGACCTCGACACGCAGAACGTCCATCCTAAGCCTCGCCATGGCAGGATTTGATTTCTTCATCCCGCTCAACATTGTGTATCGTCTTCTTTCACTCTTCTTACGCTGGTATGCTGACGGTCGCGTCTAGGACACCCGCGGGTAACCCGCAATCTACCACAATGCGGCATGCTCTTCCTCAACTTGCTCCTCTCGTTGCCGACCTCTTCTACTAAGACCGCACTCGCGTCCTCTGGTGTGGCTCCTTCTTCCGGCGGAACCAGCTTGCGATGGGTTACTGCTGCGTCATAGCTGAGTCGTCACATGGACTACCGGCTCTTCCCTCCAACATTTATTAGGGCTTATGCGAATGCGTTCCGAATAGTCCTCAGCCATGTATTCAACATCTAGCTCGCCAGCCTCCATCCTCTGCGGGTTTTCGGCCTCATCGTTGGCGCCGGGGTGCTCGCAGCATATGGGACCACGAGCGTCGACACGGGCTACGGACCGGACACGGATTCCCGTGGCTCTGGGTGATCCTCATGACCGCGGTGACTCTATTCCGGGTGAACAACGAGCGAGCGAGCTCCGCGAATGAGTGGCCCTCGTCGAGCATGTCGATCTCGCTGGGGAAAGTACGATTTGCCCGTGCTGCCGGGGCGCGTCAATGACAAAGCCGCCTTTGACGAGGGACCAGACGAGAATGAGCCCGGTGAGTACGCCGACGGTGGAGATCAATCCTGTGTGAAGCGAACCGCGGCCCTGCTCATGTTCCGGACGGTACGTGAATACGTCTCCCACTGGTGCTTACTATCTTATGCACGCTTGATGATTCTGAATGAATTACCTCAGATACCCTAATGCGTTATGCTGCGCACTTGACTTCCGAGACTGTTATCTCTCGCGCTCTCCAGCCGCCATCGCATGCTCCTGCACTCGGACGCCCCGTCGCATTCTGGAGGACACCTGGGGTGGTGACTTGCCGATCGAGTTGTACAGATCAGTGTATATGCGTTTGATTGATCCATTCATTGTCACGGTCAAACCGCTGAGACCACCTCGCTGCTCTGAACAGCACGTTCGGCTCTCTACGGAAAAGGCAGAGCAGAAGACAGTGTATTGCTCCTTGTGCTTGAGTAGGTGCTGTATTTCGTACGTTCCGACCTGTACAACGACTTATCTATCCGTGTAGCACTTGCACCGCCTCACCCCCCACTCAACGAAGTGGCACTCAGGGTCGGCCTAGGTCCCGAGACTACCATGCACCATGACATCGCTGAGAGGCTCCGGCGCCTCTGCTCACTGTTTTGTCCAGAACCATGGCGGTAGGAGTGTTCCCAGTGCCGGCTTCCAGTGGTCTAACCTCGGATTACTCGCTGGTACTTTTCACATGCGTAACTATGTCCTTCGTATGTATTCTCCGTCTCAAAGCCTCTCGCACTCACTATGCAGCTTACCTTCGCGCGCGCCACATCCCAGGCGTACTTTCCGACCTGTTGTACTTATGTTGAGGTCGTCACACCACAGTCCAATACCGCACGTCCTGCTCGTGTTCTTCGCAGCTTCCCTACTGTCTATTCTACCTGCCCGTGTACAATACCAATGTACTATGTTGGTTATGCTGTATTTATATCTATGTTGACACGGCCAACGACCTCAACACTTCGTCCACAGCATGATCAAAGTCACTACCACCACCAGTGACGGTAGTACATGTCGTCATCAGGATCGGGATCAAACGTGAGTTCCATAACTCCGCGGCTCAACCACGGCGCAAAGAGAGCGACCATGCGGGATTTGAACCTAGACCACACGACTCGGACGTGCTTGGCTCCAGAGTATGCTTCCTCCCACTCCAGCGCGAAATCGATATCAACGCTATTCTTTGGAAGCCCGTCATAGATGCCGCGAGACAGTATGGTGTGGACTGTGGTGAGAGAATTTGTCGCTTCTGCGGGGGACTCGGAGGCAGAGACCTCATTTGCGTCCTGGAGACCTTTGAATCGGTCAAGACACGTGCGGATGCGAAGTTGCCGCAGATGCGGGCTGGTGATGTCGGACAGCAAGGCCTCGAGAGTCCATTGTATAAACTGCGGTGACGAAGGACTCAGGTGCAGAGTGATGTATAATTCCTCCAGTGACGTGTTTGCAGAGAATCGTGGTACAGCCTCCAAGTCAGTGAAGCCTACACTTACGTCGGTGAGCTATCATGATTCAGCTACAGTGAGCGCCGTGGAACATCACCTCCATATAAGATTTCTTGCGTCCACAAAATTTTTTGAGTGCAGCTCCTGACAATTGCAGTATGTTGGTAGCATCCGCTACAGAAGGTTCTGTATGCTGTTGGTCCGCGATCCAAATCTCCAATTCACGCAGTTGGTGGTATGTTCGCGGGTTGACCAGTGTTAGCAACTGTAGTGCGCATCTCGAGGACACGTTGCTGAGCTGGAATGTTGACAAGGAGGATCGAAGTGGATGGTCTATGTGCACGCCGAGGGCTATGTCAGCTGGTGCGGGTTCGAGACCTGGGTACGTGTCCCAGTCATAATCCTTTAGGCCTATTGACAAGCTAGACAGGTTGCGAAAGCGTTGTAGGTAGTCGTTGATCTCCGGAAGCGAGGTGAAGTGCCGTAGGTTCAAGCTGAGGTCATTGATAGCAGGGTATGCGGAGCAAAGATCCAGAAGATCCTGCAAGCGAGCATGTTCAGATGCGGCGCAGCTCTGGCTGTCTGGTTCGGCCGCCTTGCCACCGTCCAGAATATGTATCCCACAGAGCTTGTGATGGGTCATCTTGACGGTGGGCGCAGCCAAGTCTATCGTGGATGGGGAAGGGTGCTGGAATGTTACTGCCTCAATGTACACACGTGAGAGACTGGGTAGTGCATTGATCATCCTGCGAAGATCGAGCGCGCTGCGAAAGCGGCAGTGCCGAAGAGACAGGGATCGCATGGAATCTTTGCAATGCGAGAGACGGAGGAAGTGCTGAGGGTGGGGGTTGGTAGTCGCCCAATCCACACGATCGAGCGAGAGGTCTGATATTCGAGATAACAAACCTAGAGGAATGTGCATCACCCAGGAGTGCGCGAACTGTCCATCGAGTTCAAGCGATTCGAGTTGAATCTTGAAAAACGGCAGGTATCTTGGCAGAACTAGGAGCCTTGCGTATCGCATGAATTCCTCCTTCTTTCGGATAAAGTCCTTGGGTAGCGTCGGAGGGAAGAGAGTATATGTAGCGCAATGCCAAGCGCGGCAAACGAGGCAACACCTCGCAAGCGCCCGGGGATCATCCCAAATGAAGTCGACGATGTGCTCGATGAGTTCGTGTGGAAAGCGCGGACAGTTGCCCCTGTACGCACGGGGAGTTAGCATAATTGGCATGTGCCACATAGACTGGCGGTTGCGCCAGAGACAAGAGTACGCACCTCGAGTATGTGGGCGGCTTGTATGCAATGATCTCTCGCATTTCGTCTTCGTTATTCGCGGTATCGCCCGCCTAGCGAACGGCCATGTAAATGAATCATGCGACCTCACATCTTTTTGGGAAGGACTCACCTAGCGCAAGCTCGAGTTCCGTGCAAAGAAATTACCGGCGGCAGACGTAGAGACAATCTACTGACATCACGCCAAGATCAGACGATGGCTTGCCCTGCCAGTGATAGCATGCGACTGTGTCCTCACCTGAGCAAGGTATCACTGTTTGAACCGCGTTGGACGTGAGCGCTACAGAGACACCGCTTGGAGGGAGGAACAGTGGACTATGGAAGTCGCAAATCGGGGCGAAGAAATACCCTGGCTGAGCGTAGATAGTATCAGGATATGGGATACGGACGTGGCTCTCACTCACAAGGTATATAGCGGCCATTATTTATGAATAAGGCCGAATGCAATGCAGTATGCAGGCCACACGGCCTCGAACAGGCCCCGCGTGAGATCTAGAAGTGTATTAGGTTCTGGGAGTCCTACTTTAGTACTCAGATCGCCTCACCATTGAGTCCACACGGACTGCGTGCTCAGGACACGGCGATGTTGGTGTATTGAACCTAATTAGCACGCACATAGCGCATGTACGGCGCACGGTCCATGCAAGGATCTGAGTGAATAGATCGTCCTATCTCCCAACTGACACTGGCACTGTATGCGCTCTGCCCTCTTCCGGCTGCAAGTCCGGGGATATGTAGAGGCACTCACCGGCGCGTACAAACGAGCAGATCCATTTGAACCAAGCTCCTGTCTAATAAATAGTTAGCATAACAACCAAACCCCGAGACAAGTAAATCTGGGTCCGGTAGATCACCGGAATAGCACCGACTCCGACACGAATACGAACATGCAAGGCGAAGGCACTGCCCTGCGGTTCATGGGAAGAGATATCTGGGATGTTTCTTCGCATATATAAGCACCATAATACCGTCTGTACCTGAGCAATGCTCCACGCCATGTATAGTGCACCGCGCGTCGGAAAGGTCGCACAGCCGCACCTTCGGATGTATGGAAGACGCGTTGCAAAGCGAAGAAACATTAAACCTTGCTGTAACAGTTGACTACGACGATACCTACAATTAACGGCTGGCGCCCCAGCCAGAAGATCAGCAGGATGCTGTAAACGGCACCCCGTCCCTGCTTCGAGGAACAGGTATGTGTCAACCGCGTTCATATACAGGACCTGGATGGGAGCCCTTGGGAGCCTCGTTTGTTTCAGTCCTCTCCGGAGGTCGTGTCGCTCAAGTGACGCCTGCTTACCAGCTGCCTCGGTGCGACCGACGATATCAGGCGGCGACTCGCATGATATTGCTACTGCGGGTGTGTCAGCAAGTACGCCAGCATATGGGCGTCGCGCATCTAAGCATCCTGCAGCGCGTTCAAGGCGTGGTTTGCACCGCGTGTCTGGCACATTCTGTGCTTCTTAGGGAACACGCGACTGAGTGCCAATAGCTATAACGCCGACCAGGGTCCATTCATAGAAGGATGTCAAGTGGCTGTATGTACATACTTACGGTCAGTACCTGTAGCATCCCACGTTCACGTCCGCCGTGACTTGGACCTCGGCATGGCCATTCTATTGTTACATTGGCGTATGAGAGCATTTGAAACAGCCGCAGACGGGCCCAAGACGTGCCCGCCTCTTGCGTTGCTTGAGTTCGAAGGGCTGCGCGACCGTGGACCAGAAGCAAAATGCGCGCTTGTCAGACACGATGACTGTTCACTCGCGTCGCGGTCTGCACGTGATGGATGCGCCTTGCGGACGGTCGTCGCTTGGCGTTTGTCTTCGTACAACGACCTTCTTCGCCGTCCTCACTGTTCTTTCCTGCCTGCGCGCCGCAATAGCTTCCTGGGCCCACATATCGGCATCAATAGCAACGCTCGCCGAATCTAGTCTTTGGCTCACGACGAACCACGCATCCAACAACGGTCTCGCTGCATCTTCACTCTTCATCCGGGTCTCTGCTCCCTTGTGTTCATTTTTCATACTGCTGCTTTTGCTCTGCTCGAAAATGAGTGCTCGCGTTCCCTTTATGCCTCAACGGCCTGCGTCAGCTCGCCCCGAAACCTCGGCTCCTTCGCTCTCCAGTACCGTCGCTCACGACTCGTTTCGCCCAAACGGGCTGCTTTCTGGCAGTCACTCAGCCCTACATACTCGTACAACGACGGGTCCGCTCCAAAAGACCCGCATATAGCCACCCAACACAGCGCCGAAGCTGCACTGAAGGCCGCGACAAACAAGCCGCTCAACGTATCCGGCCTCGCGAAGCGCAAACCCGTCCTCAGTCTAACGGGGTCTCCGGACTGGGTACGAACCGCAAGTCCTTTGATAGCTCTGGAGCCGATGCTCGCTCGACCAGGCCTTTCTTGCTCCGAGCCAGGCTCACCGTCTGTCGGGCCCTCGTCCGTCTTCTCCGTTCTTCCTCGGAAGCACCGTCTCAGGCACTGGATCTGGTTCTGAGTTCTTGTCTGTGAACGGATTCCGCCCGCCGATGCTGCCTGTGCCGTCCAAGCTGCAGACCTCGGGCTCTGGGGATAACCTGAACGGTAATAACGCGCATATAGTCACCTCGGATGGTGCTGGCGACGGCAACACCTCTGAAGCGCACTCTACGAACGGCGACAGATACAACGACCTCCGTTCACTGGGCTCGAACAATCCCGAGCGCGCCCATGCTCGCCCGCGCGTCTCCTCTCATCCGTCTCTCGAGAAGATCAATGAGGATGAAGACGAGGACGACCGAGGTCACCCAGGCGGTGCCCATGGCCAACGGGCCTCCGGGTCCTTCCCGGATGATGCCCACGCGGGCTCGGACGACGCTCCTTCCGAGGCGTCTCAGCCTGGCTTGCGTAGGTCGGTCAAACGCATCCATCAGCAAGACTTCGAGGAGGAAGAGTTCGCGTACGGGACTCAGTCGAAGCGGTACAAGCTGGACGGGCAAGGCCTCGCGGTGAGTTTAGCCTGTCTTCGAGGCGCGCTTTGCACCCGTGTATCGAGGTCGTGGCTGCGTAGCACCAGCGGATTCCCTGGTGCCGACGTCATTACCCTGCTGACATCCCGCACAGGACGACCTCGCAGCGCGCTACTCCCGCGGACCGACCCCCGACGTCCGCGGGTACATCGCTCCCGAAGACTACGAGCGCGGCGTCCCTGACCCTCGCGCGCATTCGCAGCAGCCCGACAGGCCTTACTCCCGCATGTCCGAGGCACACGTTCATCCACAGGCTCAGCCCGCACCCTTGGACCCTACGGGACGCGGGGAGGCGTTGTACAAGCTCATGGGACAGGACCTCGGCGAGTTCGTGGAGGGCCATGTGGACGCGTACGAGGAGGCGAAGAAGAGGTGGTCGGAGTGTTCGATGGAGGAGTGGACGGCTGGCGCAGACGGTGAGTTTGCGTAGCGCTTACTTCGAACCTGCGTGAAGGGTGGCTCATGCGAGGCGCATGCAGAGTTGACAACGAAATTCTCCAAGATGTTGGATTTTGTACGTGCTGCCTTTACTCTCCGTGTAAGCATGCTGCTCATGATCGTACCAGGTCAAGGACCACATGACGTGCGTTCCACTCTTTGCCCACACGCAGTCCCGAGTTCACTCGTGAGTGATCGCTGATGCTTGAAGCATAGTGCGAAGCTGTCCCTGTACGCCTCGCTTCATTCCGCCGTCGCCTCTCACAAATCCACTCTCGGCGAGCGAGAGAAGGCTCTGGTGGAAGCACGGGAGAGCCTGGTGCGAGAGGGAGGTGCGGTCGTTGGAGGTGGCGCAGTCGCATCTGCTATGCAGGCGGAGAAACCGAACGGGGAGGACTAGTAGGCTGGACAACACCAGCAGCCGCAGACACTTCCTGCGCACGATCGGTAAGGCGCGTTGACGAGTATTGGGACGATACGGTAAGATAGGGTATGTTCGGTCGAAGATACAAAGATACATGCTGTACACTGGCAAGTTGATCACCTTCCACGCGTCCTCACGATGCCTTCGTGATCAGCTCCTGCACGATCTTTACCGCCCTCTTGAACTTCGCTTTGTCCTCCGCTGTCGCCTGCACCGTGCTCGTCCCAGTCCCGCATCCCGCGGGCCCGCCATTCATCCACATAAGGTCGTCGCTCCCGAACGCGATGCTCGTGTCCAGCCCGTAAATGTCCTCGCTCCCCGGTGGCTGCTCCGTCGGGATCGATTTGAGGATATCGTGCAGCTCGCCGACGAGCGTCGTCGCCCCTGTGTCGGTGGCTGACAACGCCTTGCGCTCCTCATCGCCCAGGGAGGGCGTCCCGTCGGGACGCACGGCGGCGGTGGTATTCCAGCTGGGCTGCGAGGGTGTTCCGGTGATCGTGTAGATCGCGCTCGGGGTGGGAGGAGCGAAGCCTCCGGTGATCCCTATAGGTAATCGTAGATGTGTGAGTCGATGTCTGCTCGCATGATCAAGACAAACTGTGGCTGACCGTGTTGCAGGCGGAGCGAGAACTCGGTCGGGGCCATGGTGGTTTCGTCGGGACACTGAGCGTGCAGGGACTACGAACGGAGGTTGGCTGTGGGTATGGGTGAAGGCGCGATTGGTACGTGCGATCGTTATCCGCAGCTTATAATGCGCGTTGTGAGCCTCCGGATACGTGCCACTCGGCCGGACGCGCTCATGCGCGGTTGTGGCGGAAGCGCCACTGCCCTCCTGATTGGGCCTGGCACGTCATTACTAGGCACGCTCGAGGTAAGAACTCAAACAAATGTGCGGTAGATTTTTGGCTGTAATTACTCTGAAGATACATGGGTACTGACTTCGTCGTAGATGAAGGCCAAATCAGTACGCGGATATTGCCTAAGGGTTCCTTTGAAGGGGTACGAACTCGGAAAGTATCGTAGCCTTACATGTGCATCGTGCGTACTACCTACCAGGTAGGACCGGGGCACTGCAAGTCTGTAAGTACTGATCTGTCAAATATTGCAACAGATAACCCAGAAGCAGCTATCAGAGGGTGGTCACAGCTAGCACTGCTGCAGCGCTGACGGTACAATATCATATAAATTCTCTAGCATCCTGTTTGTTTCTGGCGACGCGTGTCAACTCCTCACGTCTCAAGATCTCACCAGTTATGCGCTCATCACGACTGGTTCTCGGGAGATGTGGTTACAGAGGAATGCTCAATGGGGTCGCACGAACGCTGAGTAATTGTCTCGCCCTCCTCGAACACACAGCCAAACTTTAACGACGTCGCCCCAATATGTACCATCTGCCAGGCTTTCAGCGGCTCGTGTCGGCCCAGTTGTCGAAGAGAGCCAGGTAACGCTTCCAGCGGCCTGCGTCAAAGCTCTCGATGCGCTTCCAGTCTTCGCTGTCCAACATGATGCGCAACCAGATCAGCACCCCAGCGACATACGTGTCGGCATGGGTGACCTTGCCGTCGTCGCCGCCAGGCCCCCCGCCGCTCAGCAACAGCCTTCCATTGCCAGCCGCGTCAAACCACGACGCAACGACGCTGAACGCCTTCTCCGCGACCACCCACTGCTCCGCGCGCTTCTCCGACCGGGCGGGCTGAGCTCCTCCAGCTTGCACCCCAGCGACTTCTCGCGCGTCTCGAAGAAATACTCCGCGCTCCGCGGGCTCAGCGACGTCGCGATGGCGTGCAGCATCAGCGGCATGAGTTCTGGTGCAGCTCCGTGGCGAACGCCTGCACGAAGCCTGCCTGGAGGGCGCGCGAGTCCGCGGGGAGGAGCGCGGGCGTGGCGGGGTAGGTCTCGTCGAGGTAGCGCGCGATCCTGGCGGACTCCGTGACCACCGTGCGCGTGCGCGGGTCGTAGATCGCGGGGAGCGTGTACGGCCACGGCGCGACGGACGGCGGGTTCGGCTCGACTCCGAGGGCGGTGAGGACGGACGCGATGTCCGGGTACTCGACGAATTGCGTGCGGTACGGGAGGGCCTTGTAGTTGAGGGCGAATCTGGATTGTGGAGGTCTGAGCGAGTAAAGCAGTTAAATGGGAAGATGCTCACCTCGTCTTCCAGCTGTTGGGCGACCAGGCGGTGCCGGGCACGTCCCGGGGATGTCGTAGAAGATGATATGGTCGGTGTCAGGAAGCGTCATTGCGTTGAGTTGTAACGAGTTGTGCGACGGTAGATCTGACGGTGTATTTCCAGACACTGCTGAAGCACTGGAATGCCGGCAACTGCTGTTGGCGCGAGACCTTAAATGAGTCCATCAAGACCACTGTAGCCGCCCAGTCACTCTGGCTCACTCAGCGCTGTCTGCAAAACACTCTGTCAGCGAATGTTCTTCAACAGACCCCGTAGCACATCATGGACAGATGAGTCACTGTCCGTGCTTCGTGCTCAGAACGATCGTGCTAAGTTACATTGAAAGCAGGATGCCAGTACTACCAGTGAGCTGCGAAATTAGTATCAGCGTGTTGCACAGTTGTTCTGAAGGATATGGACCTTTCTTTTAAGCCCGGGCTCAAGAACCAGAGTGTCAGGCAAGGATACGGGGGCAAAAGGATGGATTTCTGGTGCGCTATGTGCGGTTGTCCGATGCAAAGTCCAACTGGGGCTGGGCGTTTCGCGCGACGCGCTTGCGTCAGGTGATGGCGTTGGATCACCGGCGTTCGACTATCCTGACTGACTGACTGACGCAATACTCGCGATACGCGCTTGGTAACAGCCTCTATATAGACCATTCATGCCAATATTAGCAAGACGGAAGAAAGATGTTTTCGAGCGTGAGGGAACTGGCCAGCGCGGAGAGGGGATAAGCGCCCTCTCGTGTGTACGATGTCTCGACGGCTGAGGAAAGGGTATAGCTCCCTCCTCCCCCGAGATCAGTCAGCGACAGAGGAAATTTGAACGAGGTGAGCTGTCTCCAAGCTGTCATTAAATTCAGGCTCAGAAGTTCTCGCCCGGAACGTCTACTGCCAGTTCGGTACACATCTGTGGTGGACCTTAACAGAACCGCTCTTAGGTCCTCCGAGTCGCACCTTCTACCACCAGTGTTCGCAAACGCAGGTCCAAGACTCTGCTGTCTTTACGTGTCTTCGGTGGCCTTGATCCTGCGCACGAGCAATGCCAGTGTACTGAACAGTCTCACATGTACCGTCAGCACAGAGATCGCGATGCAAGGTCGGAACGCAGTAGTGCCCGCTGTCTTACGTCGTGAAATGAGCCTCCCAGGTGTAGTCAGCAGATCACGCAGTCCTCTTTAAAACTGAGGTTGTACATGGCCTTATCAACCGTCTTCTCGATCTTTTTCCAGTCCGCCCGTCGCTGAATGAACTCATATACGTCCTATGTCATGAATGTCAATCACTAGCAACCAGATCTCGAGTGACGTCCACGTACCTCCGGTTTGTACGCGCCCCCGTAGCGCGTCACATCGCGGACAATCTGGGCCAAGTCTTTGGCATCCTCGACCACGTAGACGTGTCCGAGCATCTTGAGGTACGAAAACTCAGCTGCGATGCTGCTGACCTACACCGGGATCAGTACAGAATACGAGCCTGTCTCTTTACATCATACCTTCAATGACGAAATGAATGTATGATACGCATTCAAGTCAGCGATGACCTGGAATCCACCGTTGAGCGATATGATCTGCCGCTTTAAATGCTTCTGGAGGATGCTGCAATAATGCGGGCCCGGCTTAGAACTCTGCCTCGACCGGGTGGCAGAGCAACGACTCACGCAATCAAGCGAATACCGATCTCCTGGTAAAAGACCTCGAGCACTTCCTTGCTCGTGCTCCCCTTAAGCAGCTGGCAATGCATCTTCAGGCACTGGATCGCCTCGACGCAGCCCTTCGACGGTCCCAGCTCGAGTGGAGAACCCTCATGCGGGTAGTATGCGCGGGGCCCCGTGAGCTTCATGATGATGTGCTCCACCTACGCGAACCGTCGATGAGTCAAACGCCGCAAGAGTCATCCCGGTAGACGATATCATACTTGGTTCATTAGTGCATCAGTGCCAGCGTTGAGCCCGGCAGCGACGCAATCATCGAGCACGTCTTCAAAGCGCTTCTTCTCACGTACCACGGCGTTCAGGAAGTCGGTACGGTCAATGTGGGGTGCCTATACCGCGTGCTCAGCCCCGAGAATGCTCAAAATGTGAACACACGACGAACTCACCAGTTCCTTGTCGAAGTACACCTGAACCATACTCTGGATGGTGTCGCCCACATGCACCAGCTCGAAGAACTGGAGCAGCGGTGCGACGCTCCTCGTCTCTTCGTGCTCCGCCGGCTGGTACGTCCTCATTTGCTGTGTCGCTCTGTTTATACGCATCAGCATCTCACACATTTCTCCATCACACGTCGACGAGGTACACACGTATCAAACCCGGGCTTGACGTGCCGCTCGCCGATCGCTTGCAGCAGGAGAACGAAGATCTCCTCGATCGTGTCCCGTACTCGGTGGCCGTACTGCCCCGGGTATCCCGAGAACGTCTCCGCACGCTTGAGGGACTCGCGATCGGCGTGGATGAGCTCGAGGGCGATGTCGAGCGAGAGCAAAAGATCAAATTTATCGAAGGTCGTCGGCTGCGGCGCGGGTAGCGGAGTGGAAGTGCGCGTAGAAGTCGAGGTTGAGGAGGAGGTCGTCTTCGAGAAGATAGATGGTGTAAGCTGGGAGTGGGCGGTCGTACTCGACGACACGGACCCTGGTGTATATGTCAATACCCAAGCAAGCACTTACAGGCGTACACTCACATCTGTCTGTCTTCTCACTCTCGATCTCCATATCCTTCTCGTTTGCGAACTCATCTTCGTCCTGATCCCCCGCATCCCCGTCCGCATCCTCGTCCACATCCCCGATCTCGAACAACGTGCTTCCATCCTGGCCCTTCTCGAAGTCTTGTGTATACCAGTTCTTCTTGTAGTCCACACTCCCGCCACGAGACTGCCTCCACGAGCCGAGCTTCGAGAACCGCTTCCCAATCCCTCCTACACCACTGCCTCCCCAACACTGTCCGCGTCACCCGCCGCGCTCGCACCCCACTTCTGCGGGTTCAGCATCGAGATGCCCTGGACAGCCGCGGACCCGCCCGCCGCGACGGCCTTGCCGACGGTAGCTGCTGTGCGCGGGACGATCGTCACGGGAAGGAGGAGTACGTCCGTGAAGGACGCGAGCACGTTGCGCTTCACCTGCGCAGGATTCGACGACCCGATGAAGCGCACCTGCGTATGTTCTGCAGATGTCTGCTGCCCGGGGATGGCTGGCCCGGACCGCTGGAGGAACTAAGAGCAGGATAAGAGCCAAGGCAGGGTAATGTATAAGAGAGTGTACCTGCACTTCCCAGGCCCGACACGTTCGCTCGAAGCATGCTTTGACGAATTCAATCTCCTCGTCGAGATACTCGTCCATGTTCGGCTCGAACATACGATACCTGCAGTCGATCATTAGTCCTACGCTGCGGATGGAACGCTACAAATGTGTACTGACGCGACGTCCTCCGCCTGTGCCTTCGTTACCAGTGAGTCGCTCCGCTCGCACGCGACCTCGAAAATGGCGTCCGCCATCCGCCACGCCTCCCTGAACGACGCGGCGCACGCCTTGAGAAACGTCTCATTGCTGAGCTCGCGCGCGCGGGTCAAGAGCGGCGCGACGTACTCGCCTACCTAATACCACTTTGAGACATAGACGTGAGGAATATTACTGTAGACTCACCACATCCCCCGCTAGGCGATCCGCAAACGAGAGCAGCACACCCGTCGCGGGCGGGAACACGCGCACTGCTCGTGCGCCGTGTTCCCTGAGCGCCGCGAGAATCTCGCCCATGAACGCGTCCATCGCGTCAAAATCGAGTTGCCCGTCCTCCGCGAAGTTGTCCAGTGGGCGCCACTTCGCCTGCTCATAGAAGATCTCCCGCTTCTCGATCCACACCGTGCCCAGCTCCCAGCGCACCTCGCTGCTCCCTCTGTCTGTCTCCCCGAAGCCGACGCTCCTCCCCTCGCCACCACTTCGATCCAACACTTCCCAGCTCGCCTCGGCCGCCTCGCGCATCCCGGCTTCGTCTGCTCGTCCATCCGCGACGTCGAACGCAGTAAGGAGGGCGTCTTCAAACCGGTCCGTCGCGGCTCGTAGCGCAGCCGAAAGCGCTGACCACGAACGCAGTGGTTTTACGCGTGGAGAAAGGAATAACGCTAGAAGGCGTAGCGTATGTGCCTGTTGCAGCGGTGTCTGGAACGGCGAAGGCAAGGGTGCGGAGGTTGGAGGAAACAGGGTGGAGAGGACAGCATGTGGGGGTGCGTAGAGCGCGGGGACGAGTGGTTTGAGGAGGGTGTGTACGCGGATGTACTGCGCGCGATAGGTCGGTTTCGGCGGCGGCCCTGGTGACGTTGGTGTCGCGAATGTAGGGAAGGCAGAGCCCGGACGAGGCGTACCAACGGTTGAGAATGCACCTAGAATAGACTGAGGGATATGCCCCCGACAGGAGAATGTACTACTCACCGACGAAGTCACCCATCTCATCCGCAGGCGCATTCAACTCCGCCGAGCCCTCTCCGCCGGACGCGAAGTCGCCAAAGTCGTCGTCGCCGATGTCGACGGTCAGCGTCGGGGGCGCGCCGCCCTTGCTCACCCCGTTGCGCTCTCTCTCCCGCTCCTCCAGCACGCCCAGCACCTCGTGGAGGTGGCCCTTCCCTTTCCTGCCTGTGTCCGTGCTCGCGCGCCCACCTGCACCCGCACGCTTCCCGCAGCCCTGCACGTCGTCCCCCAGCCCGTCGTCCAGCCCGAACAGCCGCCATCTCGCCTCCCACACACGCTCGTCGCGCACGAGCGCGCCCGTCGCCCGGCATGCCTGCGCGTACGCGGGCAGGTCGGGCACGGCGAGGTGTGTGAGCACGACGATGTGCAGGTCGGCGGGAAGCCGGCCGATCCGTTCGAACGGCGCGGGCCCGCGCTGGCGGGCGTGTGCATTGACGAAAGGCGAGCTCGAGGGTGCTGCTGGGCGTGGCGTTAGAGGCGAGAAGCGTGAAAGGCGGTTCTTGGACGAAGCCGATGGTGGCGAGGTGGAAGAGGTGGAAGAGTTGTAAAGTCGGACGGGCTCGAGGGTGGTAAACTTGTCCATGCCGACGACTTGAATAACTGTGCTCGATGGTTGATGTATGGTCAGAGGAGATGAGTGAGGAGAACGGTGCTCATCGTTCGTGACGGTGTTGACGGACCCGCGACCGAACGCGCTTCTCGCAACTGCGCAGTGCGGTTACAAGTCGATTGTGTTCGGTTATGCATGTAGTATTGCCCTTGTCATCGAAACTCACTCGTAAATTCGTGGGTGGATTTAGGAACGAAGGGATCATATTCAGGTCTGTGATGATCGCAAGAAAGAAAACAGACACGGTGCGACGATTTCAGTCAGACTGGCAAGCGGTCATTCTGTCAAGGCGCTCGCGCTCGGTCTGAGCAGTCTCCTCTGTGCAATGGAACTTCGCTCCGTGCCATGGTATTCATACAGCCCTACTCTGACGGTAGGGCACACTGTTGTATCGGAAGGCACTAAAGATGCGCAGCCGCAGAAATCGACATGATTACGGTAGGTCGTCCTAAAGACGCAGAAGTAGTATCATACTGTACAAGATATCAGCTTGAACCGAACCGCTTAAAGCCCGAAAGAGAAACCAGCGAGAGCGAGCCAAACGAGGACAGCGTCGAGAACTTGGGACGACAGGCAGGGCAGGGTAGCGCAATGATTTGGAGCGTTCAGAAAGCCGGAAAGCCGGAAAGCCGAGAGGTCACGGTAAAGCTTGCAGACGGGATCCAAGCGCGAGGAGAATCTTGCGGATTGATGTTGAAGTCGGGAAGAATGTGAATCGAGTGGTCCTCTGGAGTTTAACGAAGCCAAGTTCAGGCGTCGGTCGAGTGCTCAGCGAGAGCCCTGAAAGTCGACCAGGGAGACGATAAATGCGAAGGCATTGTCCGAAACTTCGTGTACGCAGACACATCGGTGCCGACCTTCCGAGTATCCCCAGAAACCGCGAGTGAGAACGAGGCGGAAAAAGGCTCCCCACAGAGGTGGAGGACCCGTGGAGGAGACAGTGCAGAGAAGGTAGCGCCGTTGAGCAGGATGTCCGGTGGAAGACTGGCCGCGTTCGAGACAGAGGGAACAGGAGAGGCCCACGCAAGCTTGTCAAGACCCAAAGGCAATGATTCCACCGCAGCGACCGCCAGCTCGAACGCGGGCTCAGGTTTCGAGTCCTGGAAGAGTTCCGATGCGAAGCTCGTACCGGGCGAGCCGTTGGAGAGCGTCGTGGGCAAAAAGTCCGGGTCTTCAACGATGATTCTAGAGACCTCCGAGTGCGTCGCCTGCTTGTCAGATCCCTGATTCGTTTCCTCGTCCAGTTTCATACCGAGGTCCGCCTTCTCGGTGATTCCAGTTCCGCCAACGATGGGGTCGCACCGCATGAAAGCCGAGTAGTCGTCTGGCCAGGATGCCTGAGAGTAGACGGAGAAGGTGGAGACGGTGTCTTGCAGAGGCTCGGGCGTGCTCCTGCAGCTCGTGCCGATAGTGAGAGCGGGGGTGCCAGGCTCCGAATGCACCTCCAGGTGAGGGTACTGCCAGGCAGGGGAAAGATGGAGTTTATCGCTGTCTTTCTGAGGTGAGGATGCCTCCTAATAGGGAGACGCACTGAGCATCGAAACATATACATCGAGCGAACGAAGAGCACGCACCTCAAGGACAACCACCATGCCCGCCTCGAGGTCCGCCTCGCTGAGCGTTTCAGAGACGCTCGAATCTGCCTTGGGCTCGGCGGTTTCCATAGCTCCTCCGACTTCACTTGTCCTCCGAGTGAACCGCGAAAGACCGCACGACCAGAACCTTCGAACGCGTGGCGCGCCCGCTGAGGTGCTCGCTTCTTGCAGACCTAAAATTTCGGCCTTCCGAGCCGCCGCGCGACGATACCGAGTGATGAACCAGAGAACAAGTAGTAGCACGTTCACGAGGATAATCGCAACGAGAGACCAGAGGAGCGTCGGCGACAGATGTGGATGCCCAGACAAAGGTATCCCAGGCGTAGATGTTAAACCTGTATGACTGGGTGCCGGAGGCATGTTTGTTTGCGTTGAGTCTTGAGGAGACCGCGTATCTTGTGATGATGACGGTGCGTGAAGAGATCTAGGAGAGCAAGGGAGAGCCTATGCAATGACTGTGAAGTAGTGAATGCAAAGTGAGCGACCAGCGTTTGGTCTCTGGAATGACACTGTTCGGTTCGATTCAGTCGTCGCGTCGCGGTCACGTGCTTCGGCGCGTGAGTAGCGTACTACACGGAACTCTTGAGACAATTCAACAATCCCCGACGGGCCTGCGGTGTGAGACAGGGAAAACCACGGTGGATGATGGAGGAGCATGAGTTGAATTTAGAAAAGATGAAGCTGATCGTGAGGCCGTGTAAGACGACTCCCCGGGAGAGCGCGGAGCCTCTCGGAGTTGCGTGAGTACCGCGTTTGCTCACGGGTAAATACCTACTGTATCGTTCCAGTCTTTATCAATGTGGTACACCGATGGGAATTTCGCTTGCGCTGATGTACTTTCTGTGTGCCCGGCTTCTGTGGCGCAACCACGGTACCGGGCCTCCCTGTCAAAGGAACTGAAGAAAGCAATTTCGTCCAGCGGTCAGTACTCACACACGACTCGGAGGAGTTCCCGATCTGCCACCTATATACTCGACATGGTGGGATACCTTCGTCCACGGCCCACCTACCACTTTGGTAAGATGGCTGACGTTCTGCGTGACGACTCCAGCGGTTCCGGCTTGACTGTTGCGATCGCTAGTCATGACATTTTCAAACATCTAGAAATCGACTAAAATAAACCACGAGAGTATGTCTTTAGAAGATGTACCCGGGCTGGGACATCCTTATATGCTATTATATCATACTGTCAGTCCGGCATGCCCTTACACTGCTGGTACATATTGCCAAACCGAGCAACCCACATATTGGGGTGCAAGGGTATGTACAATTATTACGAGCCCTTACATTGATTCCGCCGCTTATAAGGGTCTTGTATGGCCTTATAGGCCGGGTTAGCTTTTGGCGATGACGTGGCTCCAGCTGCCAGTGGACTCGACTTCGAGACGTCTTGTCGTATTGAGAGTCTGCCTAGGGGAGACGTACGGCGAAAGTTCATCAAATCGACGTTGTATGTGAAGATAACACAGCTGATATCCCTACACCAGTATAATATCCTACCAAGTGACCGATGTTGATAGCTCTAGCCCATAAACTGTATACTGCTGTTCCGGACTTTCGCGATAATTTCGTTATAGAAGGACCTACACCTCTTGTGGATCGCCTCCGGGCGGATTGCCTCAGTTGTACAAGCCGTCTCGAAATCGATGATGCGGTATTTGTAGGTGCGGTTGTTCCTGGAAGATGGAAGGCCGGCGATGGCTTTAGGCTGCTCGTACGCGCGAACGATGTTGGAACACTCCCAATCGGTATAGTCAACCTGCAGTTGGCACAGCTCCTTGCTCATGTCGAATAAGTCCTGCCTAAGTCGGAATCAGATTTAACGATTCACTGCACTTCGTGTCCGTCAAGACTCACTCGAGCTCTTTGAGTTGCTGGGGGGTCGAATACAATGGAAGAGGTTCGCCTACATCCTCCAACAGCAGGACGTTCAAGCTCGCCATTTGATTGGGCATCCTGAACATGTTGATCGTTTTCTTATCCCGCGGGAACGTGCACTCCGGGGCCCACGGGATGACGACGTGCTCGAGGAGGTTGACGAAGCACCGGAAGTAGCCATAACAGTGCGGAATGACGACGCCTTGCAAAGAGTGCAGATAGTCGTACATCGCTGCCTCTTCCGCCAGATGCTGGCCTTCTAATTCCGCGGAGACCTTGATCACCATGGGCGGAAAACTGTAGGCCGCCTCAGAGGGTTCATGCGACACCCCATGACAGACCCTGTAGATAGTGTGGCTCTCCCCGTCACGCAAGACTTCGCCAACATGCAGATGAAGATCGAGATGGCTGTCGGGTGAGAGTATGGACGGGGAATCTGGCGGACTAAGATCCTTGGGCTCGGATTCATAGGACACAGCCGCCGTATACCACTGTCGCAGATGTGAAATCTCTCTCGGCATTCTGAGAGCAGCAGCTTTGCCGCTATAGTCCTTCACGAGGCCATGGATAGTGAGCGATTTCGCAGTGAGCGGTTGCTGAGAATTTTTTCAATTGAACGTATGCCGTCACCATTGTTAACTTGGCTCACCAACAGCGGTTTTACGGTCCCTGTGAAAGCGTCCATGATTTTGCTCGTAAATGTCGATGAAGGAGAATGTCGGAAGATTGGAGGTCAAAGTGCTACGCAGAGATTCGAATTAGTAGGTCTGCGAGTGCTTAAGTACTGCTTATAGACGCTTACTGATCGGTTGGAGGACGGGCCCATCATGATTCTTATGCGAAGGCGATACTCCTCTCGGCTCTAAAGAATACACGACATGTGTTATAAACGCGACGGACCCGAGTCCGCTGCCCACGCATAGTCGGTGGTCCAGGAAGCACCGGTGCGAGTGATGTGTACTCATATGAGCGTAAGGCTCGGATCTGCAGTTGTGCGATGCATACATATGCGAGGCCTGAAACGGGGACGTCAAAATCTGCGCCATAAATGAAAGTTTCGTTGAAACTTTCACTGAAACTTTCATAATGAAAGTTTCATATGCCGTTTTGAAAGTTTGTCCGTGTTGATAACTTGTTCTTGCATCAACGAAAGTCTCCTGTTTATCGCCGCAAAAGCGAAACTTTCACGTGTATCGTTAGGAGAATGAAACTTTCATGTTTCTTGTGCGCGACATGAAACTTTCATAACGTAGGCGGCTGTAATGCAGGCGGTATATAACAGGCTGCACCTCGTGCGACGCGACTGCGACCTCTGTCCCTCGGGCCCAGTGACCGTGCAGTCGCGACTCGCGCAAGCGCCGGACGCTGCTCGACTCGAACGGACCCCTCCGAGTCTGCTTTGCTTCTGCTGCTACTATGTAGTTACTGTCATTCCGCTAGCCAACGACGCAACTGCAATACGACCACCAAACCACGCATCAAGATGATCATTTCATCTCCGACGAAGACAGTAAGGATTCGGAAGAGGCGAGGGTATATAAAGTAAGCGCGAGTGTGCACTGACCAAGAGTGCGCCGAGTCAACAGCGGTACCGAAGGCCCGACGCAGAGCACTAGGGCCGGGGCGCGTGGAGCGAAGGTAAGTACAGAAGGCACGAGCGAGCTAACTGACCTTGGGCACAGGACACGGCGACGCGCAGCACAACGTACTCGCCGACCATGAGCGCGCCAGGAGAATGCCACGCGTGCAAACACAGGCAACGGGCAGGCCGCGGGCACGGACACAAGGGCGGGTAGACAAACTGTGGGCGAGCTGGTGGATCGGCAAGCGGGTGTATCGACAAGCGGGCAAGCGTGCGTCGGCGGAGAGCACGGTAAGTTAGGCTAGCGTGTCGTCGTGCAGCACGACACGCATGACAACCGCGAGCGCGCTGGGCGAATGCCCAGCACGCAAGCACAGCCGACAAACGTTCAGCGCGTACACCGGGCGGGCAAGCGGGCACACGAGCAGGCGGACGAGCGGGCAGGCGGACGGGTGGATGAGCGAGCAGACGGCGGGCGGACGGGCGAGCGGACGAACAGACAGGAATGTGAAGGGTCGAGCAGGTGAGTAAGCAAACGGGTGGGTGTGCGAACCGGTGGTCTGACGAGGGCAGGGCGCGGGCGGCGCGGTTGCGTGCGGCACGACACACACGACGACCGCGAGCGCGCTGGGCCAATGCCCAGCACGCAGGCACGGCCGACGAATGCGAGACGGGCAAATCGGCGAGTGAGCGAGTGGACGGGCGAGTTGGTGAGTGGACGGGCAGGGGAGCGGGTGCGCGGGCAGGTGGACGAGCAGGCAGGCGTGCAGAGGGTGCATTGTCACGCAGGACGTCACGCCGACGGCGAGTACGCAGCTGACGAACAGACAGCACGCACACGGATCACCTGAATACGCGGGGACAGGGCTCCGCACCGCATACAACACGCCCGCCACGAACGCGTAGGGCCAATGCCCAGTACACATACAGTCGACGAACGCGCAGGCGGGCGAGCGGGCACAAGTGAGCGAGTGAGCGGGTGTGGAGATGGGCAGAGCCTGCCAACCCTACACCCACGGTTCGCCCTCGACAACGCCGACCCACACCGTCCACGGCCTGCTAGCGGCCCGTGCGACACCGTCTGCCTGTGGACGAGTGTTCCACTAAGTACTCCAGACAGTGGCAGGATCCGGCTCGGTCTCCGCCCGCGCCCGTCACTGTTCGGGGTGTCGTCCATGTCCGCAGCAATACAGCTAGCAGGTGAACTCACCTTGTGTACTGCCATCTGCCGCCACTCCGGCTTCTGCATGCCCGCCAAGCAGTACTGCATGTGCCTCGCGAGTCCACAGACTGAGTGGGGAGTAGCGGGACGAAAGAGGGCAAGGGTTAGTTAGTTCCCTCTTATATACTGTGAACAAGTTGGACGAGAGATCGTATGAAAGGTTGATACATTGAAAGATACGTGAGCAACCGAGCAATGAAAGTTTCAGATGCCAGAAATGAAAGTTTCCGACTGCCTGACACGAAAGTATCAGGGAAAGCGAAAGTTTCAGCGCGAAAGTTTCCGACCGCAAACGGACGAATATGAAAGTTTCGCGCGCGGTATGTTGAAACTTTCATCTCGTCCGCAGATTTTGACATTCCGCCTGAAACAGGCCGCCTGTGCGCAGTAACCCCGCAATATGTAAGCACAATGTACAAGCAGTTGATACATAGCGAATTGGTCACGGTCTGTAGCAGCGAACCAATGAACATATTCTCTGCTATGGTGAACATCTCCGTGTCAGCGTCCCGAATATTCCTCGAGAACTACGTGGAACCGGGACGTACCAGAACTGCTGAGTCAAGGCGGTCGTATGTACGAAGACGACCGCCGCGGCTGAAGCGCGCCACCGTCGCGTTCCTCACGTGCGCACGCACTGCGACAGCGGCCTCCCGCGTACTAGGCTAACTGCTTGCAGTCAACCGTCGTCTTCAAATAGTACAGTCCCGCATTCGCGCTGCTGTAGTCACTGCGCTACTCACTGCCCCTGATATGAGTCACGACGGCGACAAACTGAAGCAGCGCCGCCGCTCCGACTATCCGTACTTCCTGACCTACCGTACGCGCTGGTTCGTACAAACACTGCGTCGCGTACTCGGTCTGACTCTTATCCCTCCGCAGGAGCGACAACGACCAGTACGGGCACATGAACAACTCCGTATACTACCACCTATTCGACTCCATCGTGAACACCTACCTGATCACGCGCTGTGGGCTGTCCCCGACACACTCACAGCAGATCGGGCTCGTCGTCTCGTCCTGGTGCCGATTCTTCGCGCCCGTGTCATTCCCGACCGTGGTTGACCTCGGCCTACGCGTAACGAGCCTCGGGAACAGCTCCGTGGCATACGAAGTGGCCGTGTTTGAGGAGGGAAAGGACGCGGCTAGTGCAGTGGGCGGGTACACGCATGTCTTCGTGGACAGCGAGAGTAGACGAAGCACGCCGATCGGTTCTGGTATGCGCGAAGGGTTTGATAAGCTAGGTGTCAAACGTACAGAATTTGTCAATTCAAAGCTATAACGTTCGATGTCTGGGAAACTGGGACCTATATGACTGGGAGTGTTCCTCCTACTCCGCGCTATGGTCTGAGCGGATCTGTCCCCTAGTACTCTGGACAATCCGTATGACAACATTCAACGCGTCAATGCCCGTGTTCAGGTTCCTTCTTCTCAACTGGAATATACAGGTTCGAGACACTATCTGAACTATCCTAGGGTCTTCTCGCGCCGGAACGCATGCAGCTAGTGCCTGATACCTTCAATGTGGTGAGCCAACACTCCGACCTCTGATAAAACCCTACTGAGGCCCTTGATGTGTCTCCGCTCAGACGAAAGTACATTATAGGATCAACGTGGTTATCAAGTGATTCATTTAGCCACTGCCCACACAGGCGAGACGAGGCTATGCGATGTGGAATACACGCACTGCGCTTCATCGTACCCATGGAACGGGCCGTGCAGTGCTCCTTTGAGGTCCAAGCACAAGTATAAGGCAATGCGACGTAAGCTTGTATGCCGGTGGAACAGGGGTGGCTCAGGACGAGTGCGCCGCAGTGCGCACAGCAGTTGCCGTGAGTTGGAATATACGTCGGCCTTCGAGAGAAGCGAGTATTGACGAGAGCTCCAGCTGATGGTCGAATGCAGACTCGAGCCATGACTGTGGCTCGATGAGGCGTCGAGGACGCGGTGATACTGAAGTGCTCGGAGGATCCACGACGTCGGTGGACGCATGCATCACGCGTAGACGCGCGAGTTGTCATCGCGTCTGACATCCTCTGCGCTCAGGCCTACCGTCTGTCCTCCCGCCCACGACTCATCTTCCTTGCTTTGTTTCTTCCTTGGAAGGGCTCATGCGTGTTGGATCAGCGCATTCTCAGCGCCTTGGACCCAGATGGGCGCACATATAAGACCACGCCTCTAGTCGGCGGCTGTGTCCCGGGCTTCGCGTCTGGGGCGTGCCTTCTCAAGAGTGCTAACGCATGTCTTAGTTGCGTTAGCATCATCGCGCATTCGTGAGCGACATGATTGCTCGATACAGCCCAGGCGCGTGGTCCCTTCTATGCTCACGGGTATGTGTCCATCAAAACTCTGTTCGTGGCAGCGTTAACGACGTTCTGCGGCATCCCTTTTGGAGCAGTTCATGTTGACCGACACGACGTACAGAGTCTTGTGCGGAAAGACCATCAACATACGGACCTAGACATTTTGACCGTCTGTGCGTCAACGAGACAGTCAACTTGTCCTGTCAATGCGCAGCCTTGGTGCCGGTCGGCTATTCAATCCCATAAAGCAGATCAAAGCACAGGTTTATTCTTGACCTCTCATCCTGGGCTCTCGGTAAGTACATCAAGGCGTTCTCAGTTGCTCGAAACAATTGTACGCAAAATCCTCTCAGAATATTGGATGGTGCGCAGCCGGGCCCTTCCGAGAGCGAGACGCGGATGCGTCTCAACCAGTTCATTCAGATTGCGAACAAAGTGGCCCGGACCTCACGCATCAGAACACGAACGGAACTCTGCATGGAGAGCAGGAAATGCATTTACGCAGCCAGGTCTTCCATGTCCTGGGTTCTACCACGTGCGCGCTTCCTACCGATGCAAGGTATTACGATAACCATATTCTCGCAGAGTGTGGCGCGAACGCAGTGGATTAGAGCACTGCGCACCCAGTGAGCAGTTCGACGTAACCTTGTACGTCCCTGGTACGAGGGCGGCTCAAGACATGCGGCGAGCCTGTGCATTGGCCCGAGCTGGCCTCGTACTGATATAAGAAATGCGGGATGCTGCCTCTCTTGCGCTCTAGTCCGCAGGTCATCTGTTCGAGCCTTCCGCGTTCTGCGCCTGCGCTCTCCTCCCGACTTCTATCGCCGTTCCTGGTCCACAACGCTCAGAGCCTACCATCTATTCTCACCGACCGGTTCTGCCTCGCGGATTGCACCCGACTCGCTGCTGCCAAGTTCACGGTTTTCACGGGTGAGATCTCGGAAGAGTGGTGTCTGCACGACATAACCTGATACTTCCGCACTATATACAGGGCACCGAGCGTCAACTCAGATATCGCTAGAAGTTTTGCGGATATAACGTAGTCGGGTATATTTTCCAATATACCGGGGATCCATTGAACCATAATGACCCGATGGTGTGATTACCAGATGGCGGATGCAGTCGATGGCGAAGGGTGGCCACTGGAAGGCCATGCCCCAAAAGTGCAGGACTGCTTCAGACCGCCCACGTACTCAAGGTATGCCTTCCGTTTGCCCGGGTGTCCGTTGCTCATATTGACTTGCTTCCTGAACGCAGTGATACCTGTCCGCGATTTCCTCAGGAACTGATCGACCGCATCTGCAAGTTCCTTCGGTACGATCCTTTCACACTGACGAGGTGCCGCCTCGTTTGCCACGCTTGGTTTCACGCCGCATGGCGCCTCTGTTTGCCCAGCTGGCTCCAGTTGAAAACCGGAAAGGCCTTAGGCAACTGCGCACGCATGTTCTTGTCAAATGGCAATCGTCCATATGGCAAGACATTTACCAGCCTGGAGATTGTGGAGGACCCTCGAAAGCCTTTCATGCGTGTCTTTCCGATGCGCATCCCCGGGTACATTCTACCGCGATTGACGAGCCTAACGATACGGGACTTCGACTGCGCAGTCACCAGGCCACATCATCGCTTCTTCCACTTCCTCTCCTACTACACCAGCATCACGGGACTAGACATTGTGCAGTGCTGCTTTCGCAATATAGCGGAAGTCCGTAGGATCTCTAATGCACTGCCGAATCTCGAAAACCTGTCTCTTTGTGGAATCACACTGCAGCACCCACTGGCGCCTGATCCAGTGGCCCGCTACACTCCCTCGTTCTGCAACAAGCTCAAGAGTCTCAGACTTAGAGCTTTGCACTCAACTTTCGAGTTTGCTACTCACTCTCGTGAACACCTTCGATTCCTATTGGATGGTGTATGTGTTGGAACATGCGTTTAGGCACGAGCTCGCAAGCTCGGCCGAGATAGTTCCTGAATGAAGATAAGGGAGGTCAGGGTATATAAACCGTAGTTTTCGATGTACCTACCTTACGCGATTGCCCTTCGGGCATCGTCCGCGCCCGGGACACTCGCGCCCGTCGACCGTCGTTCCGCTTGTTCTCACACAATCGTGTCAGCCCACCTGGGGGTTTACTACCAGAAGGCTCTGGGGGCAGCCGAAAGCCCGCCGCTCGCTGCGTTGCTGGACCTCGTGCGCATGCTGTCACTCGCCGATGCTCTGCTGGCCGTCGCTGTGCCGCAGACTCCCGCCGTCATCGTCGACCCACCTGCCTAGACGAGGCTGAAGTCGTCTACCCGCCGTTGAACGCCGCACGCGCGCCACCGCCGCCGCACGTCGTACGATCGACCTGTCGAACCGAACCGCCCGGGACAGGGCCGAAGCTGTCCACCGCCGAACCGTTGTCTTGCCCGCCGCCGAGGGCACCGTCGTCGAACCGTTGAACCATTGAACCGCCCGCCGAGGGTACCGAACCGCCCGCCGAGGGCACCGCTGAACTGTCCGTCGAGGACACCGCCGATCGAATTGTTGTCGCTGGAGATGTTGAAGTTGCCGGATTTGGACGAGGATCGCGCCGCCGTACGTTTACGCCTTACCTTCGCACCTAAGGGTCGCCCGTCGTAGCTCATCGCGAGCATGGACTATCGGCCGAATGTCGGAGTGTTGGAATGGGTGTCGGAGCTGGATGACTGCGCCGAGAGGATGAGGATTTGAGTTTGGGGGAGTGCCGGATATTGAACTGCGGGGAGTGCATACGACGCGCTCGCTTGCTTCGCTCGGGGGAGTGTGTTGGAACATGCGTTTAGGCACGAGCTCGCAAGCTCGGCCGAGATAGTTCCTGAATGAAGATAAGGGAGGTCAGGGTATATAAACCGTAGTTTTCGATGTACCTACCTTACGCGATTGCCCTTCGGGCATCGTCCGCGCCCGGGACACTCGCGCCCGTCGACCGTCGTTCCGCTTGTTCTCACAGTATGTGCCACGTACTCGTATGTAACTGAGCTAGAGTTTCCACTGCACTACTACTCTTCGTTTTCACATCTTCATCAGTTTCTATGCCATTTCCCTCATCTGTCCCACTTGTCGCTACTGAATGAATTCGGCCCCCACGTCGAGCCTGCCTCAGCGGCAGACATGTCCCTATACACAGCACATGCACCAACTCCCTCCTTGACAAATTTCGCACTCGAATGTGTCCCCGTGTCGTGGGCATCACAGCTTCTGAAGTTGGTGTTAAACCCGCAAGCTTGTAGCAAACTGGAAGCTATGCGGATTCAATCTTCGGTTTGGGACGGCCGTTGTGCAGAGCTTGGACTACGCGTTACAGAGGTTCTGCGTCTCGCCGGAGCGCTCAAGACGTTCGAGTGTATGTTGCATCTTGCTGATGGTAAAGGTCCTCGTGCATCGTCATTGCAATTATAGTCACTCATTGAAGCAACAGGAGACCCAATCCACGATGCCGTGCCGCGACTTACAACAAATACATCGCTGACAAGACTGATAATGAACTTCCACTCCGTCTATCCATCACTCCCAATGATCCGGAGGGGCCTGGGTACCTTGCTATCTGACATCCGAAGCCCGCATGTGGAGCAACTCGAAATTCGGATTGGCCTACTAGTATCGTCCCACTCCGAGACGTCTGGAGATGGAAACTACTCGGACGCCTCAGTCAGGGAGGCAGACCCTCCCGGCTCCACCTCCTATTTCCACGATATACTCTCTCGTAGCATCTTTGACCAGCTTCCAGCTGCGGAAGTTGTCGCGGAAGTTCCTGACCCCTGGGCCGATGTCTCCACGGGTGTATGGATCAGAGTCCAATTGGTCCGCTCGCCGGAGGGGGAGGCTCAACTTGAAACCGCCACAATGTCTGCGATCAAGACAGACATGATTACCCTGTTCGCACCATGGCTGGACCGCGGAGTTGTACAGCTCGAATTCTATCCGGATCCTGACGATGAATATTCCGTCACTCGCTCCTCCTCATCAGTACTCCGTGTTCTTGGTGAGTGTCACGACTCCGTTACCGGTAAGGGCGCAGCCGCGATCTGTTCAGTATGCTCATACGCTAGAGTAGGGACTCGAACACATACCAGCATAAAGGAGATACAGGACTCGGAGGACGATGAACGCGAAGGAGGCGCACGCGATGTCAGTGGAGATACGGAGACAGAAGACGTGGTTTATCCGGGGCCAATGGACTCCAACGCACTTGGATCTGCACGACTGACCTCGGATTATCAAGTTGTATGTCGCTCGACTTTTATATGCCGGAAAGCACCTCACTCATAGACCACCCAGACCCAGGTTAATGACCAAACTCAGAAAGCGGTCCAGACCGAGACATCGTGTCTTGGTGAACAGTGTCTGGAGCGGCAATCCATCGGACACATCGCTGCTACCCGCCCAGGCTTTCGCAGTCGAATTGCGAGACTCGTGCGCACGATCCTTTGTAGTCCACAAAGAAAGGACGTGCAGGAATAGGATTCGGGAATGTGGATATGACACACGGGGACAGGATGATTGATAGGTTTGCCAGGTCGTTCGTGGATGTGCAGGACGCGCCGCGTACATGAATCGTCTTATCTATCGAATGCGCTTGAATCATATGGGGTCGCACCACGCAGGACCTATCGATCAGTAGTCACTCTCAGGCCGTGCGAGTAAGAGGTGAGATGGACGCGCACGAAGGCGGAGAGCAGCGTGACGACGCGATGCTGAAGCCCTCTAGAACCGCCCACGCAGTTGACCGGTTTCCCACTTGCTACCAGGCATGAAAACTGTCGCGTCGCAGCTGTGCCAGTGGAGCGAAGATCTCGTATACGCGTGTCGCGTCGCACTTTGCCGCACTATCTGCGGAAGAGTTTTTGTATCGAGCTGTACGCGCATGAGGCCTAAGAACGACGGTGGAGTCGATATCACCTGCGTTACGATCAGGTTTCTCGCATAAAGATCCGACGGTTTCTGAACATGCAGCTAAGTCACTTGAAATTCAGAGGAGAGCCGCAGCTAATACGAAGAAGAACGCAAATGGTCGGTACGCAGACGGCAAGTTCTTGGTAACTTACAGCCCGATCGCGAGGGTGGAGTTCTATGCCATGCGACAAGAGCCGCCCAATTGCGGCGCAGGGAGGGGATGTCCTTCGGAAGTGGCGGATCCACTGCGATCGGCGAGCGTTGGTCGACGAACTGCGTATCCCGTCCACTCGGTCTGTGTATAGGTCGGACGATAGCCGTAGGCTGTGGACGAAACTGGCAAATGGGAAGCGCAATGCGTCCGCGGCGCAGCCGCAAGAGGTTCTCGCCAGGCGTCGCGTACGCGGTGAGGCTCGTTGGGTGGAGACGGCCTTGCGAGACGTTCGGCGGGTGATGTACGAGTTCGGTATATATGCGTGGTCTTGAAGGGGGTAGGACCGGAGGTCTTCGGCTGCAACGTCGCGATCAGTTCAGCGAAGAGATACTCCGTCCATACGTGTTCGTGTTGGTGGTTAGACGTGAGCCACGTACCACGAAGGCGCCCCATGAGATACCCGTGCTGCGCCCAACGAGGGCAGCGAACACACGCCCTTGACCGTTCGAGCCAGGAACGTACGCAGTTCACCCCCAGATGGTGCCGTGACGCGCAAGACGTGTCAGAGATGCGACTGCCGTTCCGGGCGCGACGTGCGGCCTGTCAAGCCTCCGAGGACGCACCGCGAAAGCTTTTGACCAGACGCTGCTCTTGCTGCGAGGACACTGGAGGGTGTGAATACTCGGAATCCTGGGTGTAGTCGTGAGCAGCGTGAGATGCGTGGATGCGAGGATCACCGGTAGCAAGAGGGTGGACGGGTCGTTCGCGGGAGACGCAGGCGAGGACGAGAGCTCGAGTAGACAAAGAGACTCGGGGGCGAGGATTCGAGCGAGCACGCACCCATCAGCCGGAGGTCGCTAGTGTATTCTCCAGGGGTATAGCCAGTCCTGCGATATGCAGACATGCCGCATACAAAGAGGACAGCCTACGGTGCGCCATTGAGCGTGGCGTGAGGTGGATGAAGAAGGAGTGTGTTTAGGACTCGCCAAGCAAGCATGTCTGCCCGCCTGCAGTGACCGCGGAAGACGGACGACCTCGCATGTTCTTGTGTCGTAACGGTAGACGGATTGCGAGTCTGTGAGTACGTGATAGGATCGTTCACAACAAGGATCTTCCGAGCGTATCTGAGTCTCATCAAGCTCGAAAGAAGCCGCAACGGAACTGGCCCGAGACTCACCGGAACGACCGTAGTTGCCCTACAAGCCTCCACCGTCAGTGGCCTCCGCAGATGCAGTTTGCGTCGACTGTCAAGCGTTGTTATGACTCGGATCGCAGGTCGTATGAGCAGCCTAGAAGTAGAGAGAAGAGGATAGGCGGGAGTCGAGCTCACGCGCGTCGAATTAAGACCGCGCCCACCGGAACGGAGGACGGGGACCGACATGCAACGGCTGGAGGCGGCAAGAGTCTGCACGCTATAATCTCGAGTCGTGCCGAGGAGACCTTTGTGCGCATGTTGGTCAGATCCTCGCACGCGAGACGGTGACGCGTATGGCCTTCAGGGGAGCGTGCATCGCGGAACGGCCGTGCACAATCTGCAGAGGGCGGGTACGCTTGAGACGCGACAGGTGGTCGATATCATCGTCGGTGTCGCAGCGGGTGGCCAATGAGCGAGAGGCGCTCTCTTTGGGAGCGGAGAAGAGAGAGAGGCGGGACGGATGACGTGACTGACGAGAGCGGCCGTGGACACTTCCTCTAGATCCAACGCAGTTAGACACAAGCTACGATACGGTACATTTTTATAATCATGGACGCTGCACGCGTACGGTGACGTACGCCTGTGCACACGTACACTCACTGGCAGCGCGTCGCGCATATGCTTGGGTCACCAGGGCAGATCGACCTACACAGTGTTCGACCCTCCGATTCAGGCGGCTCCCTCAGGCTCGTCGATCTCGTCCTCCCCAGGATGCTCCGATTCGTCGGTTCCAGCCTGCACGTTCGCGGGCTTGCTACTGGAGGCTTCAGCCTGAGGGCTGTCGTCGGCTGCCAGGTCCTGCACGTCGGGCTTCGCGACATTCGCGGTCTTCGTTGGGGGCCCTTGCTCACTGGCCTGGCACTGGTCGGCTTCACCGCAGACGTCGGGTTCGCCGCAGACGCCGGCTTAACCATAGACATCGTCGTCACTGCAGATGCCAATGGAGACACCGATGGAAACGCGGCCCTGTTGCTGAGCTTCGCACGCATCCGCTCGAAGTTGAGGAAGCTCGTGCCCTTGGTGGCAGGCTCAGGTTCGTCGATGTCGCCCAAGTTGAGTCGACCGCTTTGTGTGCGTGCATAGCAGTGAGTCACCAGAAAGGGTGGACACGTCGGACTCACGAGATGTGGCCCCAGATTTCCTTCTTCGTCTCGTCGTAGTACTCAGGGAGCTCGTCCTGCAGTGTCTCGAGGATCGCCATGAGACTGTCCCACCTGCGATGGAGGGACGTCATGCTGTTGACGGGCGGATAACATGATGTGGATGCCACTTACCTGGCTGCGAACAGCTTGTTCGTGAAGTCAGAATGTCCGTGATTCACGATCTCCGTGAGCGCCCACTCGATCTGCGAGTGCGACCATTCAGTGCTGGATATGATCGGAAGATCAAAGCAAAGCACGGCCTACTCACAGCATTGCATACCAGGGCTATCAGATTGTCGGGTACCTTGGCGAACTCCTCTATCGCGGCATGCAGATTGGCATCTGCGCGCGCTCCCAGCGCCCAGTGCTGGAAGATCACCTCATAGATGGCAGGATGGCGGAAGGGTCCGTCCTCGTTGAAGTGACTTGCCTGGAGCCTCCGGCGTAAGTGATTCGGCGCACGTAGGCTACGCCACTGCCCACCTTCACGTCCAGACGCTTACGACTGTCAAAGACCAGGCTGATGTCGCTGAACACGAAGTTGGGGATGTTACGGGATCCCGTGCCGTCGTTAACTTGCGTCGGATGCGCCTTGAGCAGCCACGCGGCCGCGCTGCTTCTCTGTTCGGCAGACAACCCACGGAGACCGTACAACGGCTCGATGACGCTCTCCGCCTTCTTCCTCAACTCGTTGCGGAGCTGTGATGCGCAGGCCCAGACCTACGAACGGATCAGCGCGCTCTCTGAAGTTGCAGACTGCGTGTCGCTCACAATAGTAGAGACACGCTTCTGCAGCTCCTTGCGCTCCGTCTTCTCCTCCTTAGTCTCCTTCCTGTCGCTCTTCTTCTTCGGGGGCGCGAGCATCTGGAAGCCGGCCTTCAACGCCCTGATGCGGCGTCCTTCCTTGTCGCGCATCTCGTGCGCATCGTTCAAGCTGGCTTCAACGAGGGTGTTTCTTTCCGGTAGACGGTCGCTGGGAACCGACGTCTCCGACGTCCAAGCCGACTTGAGCGCGATGCGCAGACGCAGGCAGTTCTGCGAGGCGGAGACCAGCGCCCTGACGTCGGTCGGAAGGTCGGTCATCTTGGCGCGCTGTTTTTTGGTGCGCGTGCCCATCCGAGTCGACCGTCGACGCGTGCCTTGCCCGTTTGCCGTCTTGGTACGCAAGACCTGCGGGATTAGCGGAATTAGCTCGTACTTCGCTTCTGTGACGCGCAGCTCACCACTACGTCGTCGTCATCGTCAATCTCATCGATTTCACTGCGCTCTTCCTCTTCCCCCTTCTCCGTTTCGCCGTTGTCGTCGTCTGCGTCTGCATCTGCGTCTGCATCATCGTCGCTGACCCCAGCATCGCGATCGTCATCGCTCTTGTCAGCATCACTTGCGCTGATTGGCTTCGTAGCCGTTGCCTTGCTGACTACTCTAGAGACATCTTTACCCTTGCCGTTCGCAGCTGTCTGCGACATCTTGTCGCTCCCGCGAAGCTGTATGAATATCTGCAATCAGCGTCGGGCGTGTGGGAGACGAAGAAACGATAGAGCTAGGTACCTTGTTTTTACTCGAGAGACCAGGCTGCGCCTTCTTCGCGGCTTGCGTAGCCTGCTGACTTTCGTCGCCGCTGTAGCTCCTGTCTTCAGAATTTTCGCTGGGTTGCCTGGTCTTGGTCTTGGCCTTCGACATCGTCGTCGTCTGGCCTGCTGGGTTGTTGGATTATCGAACGTAAATCATCGCTACAATAGTTAGTGAGCGCACCGAGTGACTGAGCAACCGCAGCCTCATCGTCGTCCAGGTCGAATGAGCTTTTCGCCAGTTTTGCAGGTGGTTTCAGTGTAACCTTGCCGGCCAGCTTTCGCTTAGGCTTGGACTTAGGCTGTGCCTTGGCTTTAACAGTAAGGCATATAACATCAGAAGGAATCTATCGCTGCAAAAATACCACAGACGTACGCTGGGACGCAACTGTTCTCGACTTCTGGCTCTTGTTCTTCTGTCCCTCTGAGTCATTCCCACTTTCTTCGTCCTCGCCTTTGGTGATCTCGTCGTTGACATGTACATCTTCGCCGACTATAGCGTGCTCCGCTTCATCAGAGTCTTGAACCACTTTCTTCTTCTTGTACTTGCGAGGCTGCCGCTCTTCTTCGCTCGAGTCCTGGCGATCTGCGTTCATCATCGCGGCGGATCTCTTGCGCGTGTCTGACGCTGCATCGTTGACGCAAATCAATGCAAACCAAGCGTCACTCACTTTTCTGGAGCGACACCTTTGCGCTCTTGGTGGCCCCCTTCGCCATCTTGCGAAGCTGGGCGAGAGTCTGCCTGTCCGCAAGAGACAGGCGAGACGAGTCGATGGTCGGGATATCCGAGTCGCTTCCTGACGACGCCTCGCTGGCTTGCTCTCGAGCCTTTGCACGATCTTGTTTGCCGGCGCCTCGCTTGGAGGTGGAGCGTTCGTCTGTAGCGGATGCCTGTTTTCGAGCGGCGGAGCCAGTGCGTGGTCCCATTCTGGCAGTGCGTGGAACACAGAAGCTGGCAGCGAGTAGAATGCGAACCGAGGATGAGGCAAAGTGAAAACCGGACGTACCCGAACTAAGCCGGGACCTGTCCAGAGAAGGTCCTGACAGCTGCTGTCAACGACAGGCAATTGAAACACGCCACATGCAACGCTAGTCTGTGGGCAGGTACATTACTTATCTGAGTCTGCCTCAATCTGCCGTCAGTTGTAATGCTACATTGCTACTGCAGGCTCAGCCGCTCCTCCGCAGCCACCAGCGAGAAGCGCCTTTGTGGCGTGACCGCGTCCATCTCCGGACGCGCGTGGGTGGCGCAAACGCGTTGACGCATACCGCCGCGACCACCTCGCCCGCCGTCCATCCCGCGCATCATTCCTCTCAGGTTATAGCCTGTTCCTGTCCGACGATAGCCTTCCTGCGCGCCGCCGACTACACCGCCCACACTTGTACGCCCTTCGCTCCGCCCCCGCCCTCCATCAAGGCCGTCCATGCAGCCGTGCCAAAGCACCTCTTTGCGTGGTCGACGCCAAGTCGTATGTTCTATGTGGTTGCCACGTCTTCCTCACCGACGGCTTCTGTCCGTTCGCAATGCAAATGATGTGCTCGTGTCGGTGCTGCTTGGTCCCTCCGGCGCAAGAGGAGCGCACGCGTTGAGGTCATGCTGGAGTGGGTGATGTGGGCGACGTATTGGTTCTGGCAGACTCGGACCGTCGTATTCATGGGCATCTGGTGAGCATCCCGTTGTTGGTGCTTGTGCATCTACGAGACAAGACTCCCACTGACCGCCCGCACGTACCACAGGACACGAGGTGCGCAGACCCTGCTATCCTACCCCCCCAAGTTGGCCGCCACCTCGCCGCCTGGTCCGACTTCGATCTGCACCCAGTGCGGCCTTGACGCGCTTTCGCGAAGCTGCGGGTGAATGCCGTCCTCGGGATGGGCCTCCTCACGTCGTCTCCACCACGTACTGGGCCTGGCGGGCGACCCATCGGTCTCGTTTGGGTCCCACCATGTTAATCCTTCAGCCTAGCACGCGTTCCCGGTCTCTCCTATTGAAGTCCGTCGCGGGGACTTTGACTGTGGATGCTGATGGCGTTCTCATCGTACAGAAGGGCGCGAACAATCTCAATCGCGACGAGACGTACCACCCGCAGACGCGCGAGGAGTTCGACTTGCCGCCGGAAGGTGCGTCGCGTCTCCGTCGCCGGCATCGCGAGTCTCTGAAGACGGGGCAAGTAGAGAAGGGGATCGACTACCACGAGACGGTCGGGCAGACACCGCTGTGCACACTTCGGGGGCGGTCCTCCGGCAGACCTTGTATGCTTCCCCGTCTCTGTGCTTCATTTAAGTTGACTGTCGTGTTGCAGGGGATCTCAACCTTTACTTTACGTACGTGATCTGATTCGAGACCCGCGTTCGTCTCACTGTTGACTGACCCGCGCACGTCCGCAGACGTAACCGCAAGGGGATCCCGAAGTATCCTCCCAGATGAGTGTATGTTGCACCGCTTGCTATACCCCACTGTGGTCATTGCGCGATGGGCAGCACTAGGTAGCACTACGAGCGGGGCTCGAAGCTCTTCCGGGCGGAGGAACATGAGTTCGAAATTCGATCCTAGCAAGGTGCGAAAGGTGAATATCGACTTGTGTGCGATGTAGAGAGACAGGTCGCCCGCAGCCGACTCCCTCGCTCGGGGTACCACAGCTCGCACGCCGCGTTCCCCTTGGAGTGCTGAAATGTCCTGGACAGGGCATCCCATTGACGTCTCGAATATCCTCATCGCTAGGATACTCGGGCTCCTCGGCGTTTCGGTATGGTCGGGGCACGGTGTGGAGGATGTGTCTCGTGCGGCGGCTGGTAAGTCCCTCCGCTTCATTCCGTCTGCACAGGGAGTCTCATCCGCGTCATCAGCAGTGAGCTCACAACTGGGTAAGCCTATCTCGCTCAACGAGACAGGTAATTGCTGACAGCGTTGTCTGCGGATGGTTTAGGATCGCTACGGTGACGTACCTGCAGCACTCGGACCCGACGGTACCGTATTATGTAGTACGTTGCTGGTGCAATGACGAGCCGGATGAACGCGTGCTGACTTTTATGCATCTAGGGCCAGTGGACGTTCCTCCGCGGTGCGCTCGCAACGGTCGACCGGCCTACCTTTGGCTAGATCGGGCGGTTCTTCTGGTATGGTGTAAGTCTACACTCTCCTCAGTCGACGTGCGTGGCTGACTGGCGTCCTTCAGATCGCCCATGACCACGTCACCACTTCGTCGTCGAGGTATCGTTCTGTGAGTGTCCTTCCGTTCACCTCATGATTCGCTGACATTCCCCGCAGACAAACTCTCTGATGCGACGGAAGTGATCAAGCCCGTCCTCGGGGGCTACTACGACTCGACGGTAGGTCACTTCGTCCCGAGCCCGCTCGTTCGTCGTCTGATGCTGACGCCACCAGCCGCTCTAGGCACTGTGGCGGAGCTTCATGCAGTGCAAGATTATCGAGAGCACGGGCGACGTCGTGTTCCTCAAGGACGTGCGGCACGAGGCCGTGCGGGAGTGCCCCTTAGCGTCGCCCGTCGCGGAAACCCGTTCCACTTAGGAAGCGGGTGCTGCTGATCGCATGAAGTTGGCAACGGAGGCCGGATTTGAAGGCGCACGGGACGAGAAAGAGGACGTGTTGCTGATCTATGGTTGAGATTTGTACCTTGTCGGGTTGTACTACCATCCGTTACTGACATGTATCCCTGCATTGCACGTCGACCGCCCCCGACTTGACAATGATGCTGCATAAGCGCCAATCGGCGTATGCACGTGTCCTCGGCTATGCTCAACGCGAACATTACTTGAACTTGAACAAGCCACGATCGCTAGCCGTAATACTATCACCATACGCCACACAAATTCTCCCCTGTGCTGTCTTCGGTGCACACGGTTGGTTGCAAGATGGATGACTCTGACGAACCATATGTGAGTAGCGCGCGTAGCATTCAACATTCAGAAACCCACTGAAACACGTACAAAGATCGCCTACGACGCGCTATGGGTGAAATTAGACGATGTCGTCGGGCTTCTCACAGCCTCCATGAAGGCCTCAGCGCGTCGGAGGAACTGCGCCAGAGTTCTCTGCGCCTGCCTCCACATGCTGGACGGGATGAGTGCCACTCAGTCCTATGCATTCGACAAGCCTTACGACAGGCCAACCGCCGGCAAAGAGCTCTACGAGATCCTCCGCAAGATGTTTCCCGAGTACCTGAGTGCGTGCGCCGCTTTCCTGAGCCTGCCTCGCTCAGACAAGGAGGCCGAGGACATCGATGCGTCTGTCAGCGTGTGCGCGTGCTTCAGAACGCCACCGAAGGGGAAGACGAGGCTCCTGCTCGGAAAGCTGCACAAGTTCGGGGCCGCACGCCAGTTCACCTTCCAAGACTTCATCCAGGCACTCATTCGCCACGTCGCCGGTGTCCTCGGTAATGCGGTCGCTTCGAAAACCGTCGGCGGCACTGCTGCGATGGGCGGCCTCAGGAAACACTCCAGGAAGCATGCCGAAAGCCCCCCATGGCCGACGGATGCCAGCCAGCTGATTCCCCACGGGCTCGAGAGATCGATGCAGGGATACGCCGCTTCCTTCCGCAGGTACCGCAGTGACAGATTCCACGAGCCCCTTCTCTTCCTCAACAAACTCCTCGCTATCTGCGGTAGATCCGTCCTGCCTCCCCTGCTCCGGTTCCAACCCAGCTGGCCCTTCGGAATCACCGGCCTCGCCAGCGGTCTTTGTGAAGCGCGCAGAGAGACACTCGGGAAGCCCGTGGACATCGAGACGGAGATAAGCTGGCTCGAAACGCTGGAACAGATTCTAGAATTCTATCGCGTCATCACACACGTTGGAGTGCGAGATTCAGCGGACGTTGTGCTACTCGTGCGCCTGCGCTTACAGGTAAAATCTGAAGGGTCAGACGAAGTCAGAGACTGGCACTGCGGCCTGCTCTTCATATGCAATCTAATCCTTCGATCTCTGCCACTCTTTCGTGATGGTACGACTTGGTTCAGCGACGAGCACATCAGCCGGCTGGAGCGCAGCTTCACCGGGTTTGGCGCGGTGTTATATCAGTACAAGTCACCCGAGGACAACACGGCCTTCCACCCGGCAATCCTCCAATCGTTCGCAGAGGCGACTGCCTTGTCCGCAGACCCTTTGCAACAAGCCTTGGAAGGATTCTATCTGGCTACCATGGCGCGACACTGTTGTGCGCCGGAGTGCCGCGAGACGTTCGCCACCGCTAAGCGGACGTTTTCCCGATGTGCAGGCTGCGGGGTCCTGCGCTACTGCTCGCGCGAGTGCCAGAGGAGTGCCTGGAAGCACGCGACGTTCCCGCACAAGAACGTTTGCACCAAGTTGCGTGTCTTGAGGGAGAGGACGAACCTCCCGAAGGACCCGGATCACTGGAATACTGCTCGTATTCGTCAGCCCTTTATCGATGCATGTAGAGCGGATGAGGGACTCGCAGCGTTAGCTCAGGAGTGCGGCGAACACATGCACGCTTTGTTTGTCATGCGGCGGAGCATCAGTACGGCTTGCATCCCAGGGCCGTATAGAATCATGATGTCGACCGAGGCGGATGGAACTGATCGGGCTACTCCGCTGGTAGAATGACCGTAGCACGTATCGAGTTCTCCGGTTCAGATCCAAGTGAATGACGGAAATAAACCTGTATCAGGTGTGTATTTACAATGATGTACGCACTAGTATACTGCCCCACTGGTAATATCAGATCATTTGGGCCCGCGAAAAACACCGTGCATATCTGAAGCTGCCAGCCACTACGGTGTGATGCCGACTCCGGGTTGGAGAAGGCATGTACTGTGATGCATTTTCATCGGGATGTCCGTCATTTGACACTGAATGCGCACATTGCGTTTGTCATAAGTAGCTCGACATTGAGTTGTGAACATGAGCCTACAGCTTAGCGAAACATATAGAAAACTGCTTCAATATCGCGACGGTAAACCTCGTGACTGAAGTCAAGATCTGTAAGCCCAAGTTCGACGCTGAGCCTGGATGTCAACTACTCGGCGACCAAGTACGCATGGGCATGGTGTAGAAGCTAAACACGCGGTCAGACGCTCAGTCTTAGTAGAACATCGACTATGAATTAAGCTACCTAAACACGCGGTCAGACGCTATTTAGGTAGTCAGTACTAGGGTATCGTATAGTCATGAAAGGGTCTCACCTCAGTCTTAGTAGAACATCGACTGAGGGAAAGGAAGGAGAGAGGACGAAAGGACGAACCACCCCCGGCGGTACGTCACGTGCCCGGTGGCTGAGATCGAGATCGCGACGCGACCTCAACACTCCATCAGGAAAAAGCTTTCCGGGCCATAGCACCCACTGAAGTTACATCACCATGATAGGAGCCATAGGGGCTGTAGAGGGCTGTAGACGTCAGCATTGACTATCTATTAATCCATAGTTGTCCATAGTACAGCGTAGTCGGGTGTAAGTGGGCCATAGGAGTCAATAGCTTTCGTCTGTTGTGTATATCAAACCATTGACGAGGATATAAAAACAAATGCCGCATAGCAGTGATACTCATCGGTGCACTGTGATATCACCGAAGCTACGAGAGTCACAGCTTAGACTCATTCCAGGAATTGATGTGATAACATTACAGGCAGACGTGGAACTCCGAGCCATAGGCTATACATAGTAGACAATATACTATTAGAGGTTTCTATGCACACTGTATCAGGGGAATGAATCCTCGGTCTCCTTGAACACGGGCCCGTACGCTCCCGATCCATCAGCTTACAAGTTTGATTCGGTACCTGCAGGCAGGGGTCGTCAAGTGCCCTGTTTACGTGCACTTAGACGGCGTCGCAAGCGTCGTATGCGTCCTGAACGTGTTGGCCGGCCCTGGCCATGTTCGCCCTGTTAATGTTCATCCCCGTTGTGTTCGCTCCCGTCGCACTCGCCCAGACGCGCTCGCATACCTGCCTGCCAGTGTATCGCGCTCGTCTGTGTCGTGCTCGTCTGTGTCGTGCTCGTCTGTGTCGTGCTCATCTGTGTCGTGCTCGTCTGTGTCGTGCTCACCTGCATCGTGCGCACCTGCATCGTGCTCGCCTGCGTCGTACCTGTTGTGCTTGTGGTTGGTGGGCTGCAGGCCTGTCCTTGCTGCATGTCTTCGTTGTGAGTGTGTTCGTCCTAGACACGCTCTTCACGCTCGTCCTTGCCGGGCCATTGTCCGTCGTGCGTGTGGAATCAATCGACACGTCGGGTGCTTCTGCAAGTACGCGCGTCGCGGGACAGGTCACTGTTTTCGTCAGCAGTGTGTACATCGGGCAACATGATAAACGTACAAATTACACAAACGTTGGTCGTGAATGAACTGAGAGCGCCAGACGTGCAGCGAGGCACGTCCGACACGTGGCCGTGCAGCGCATACCTGGCGGATACTACGTGGAAGTCGTCCCGAGCGATGGAGGAGCTGTCTTCGTGGCCAGCAAGGCGCGCGACGGACTTCTCATTCACCAAACGCCTGCGGGTGCGGGACTTCATCAGGGCAGCCGTGAATGGGGTGTGTCTGGCTGTAAGGGCGTACCTTCGAGCTTGAGCCTTCGCGCTCGTTCTATCCAACTCACACTACACCCTTCCCCTTTCTTCCTCTTCGTGCTCTCCTCCTGTCCTTCTGACCCCCTATTCCTGCAGTTCGCGCGGCTCTCTCGCTCGACGCAGGACTTGTAGGTGCATCGTTTCGGTCCTGGATCGGGCGGGGGCGTCGCCAGAGCCGCGAGTTCGACCAGGGGTTGACACAGTCGAGTGGTAGAGCGGAAGAGTTTGCGAGAGGGCCGAAAGATGAGCATCGGAGCATTTGGCAGATAGGCTGGAGATGACGAAGCAGACGAGAGGCGGCTGAGCGAAGTGGGCGAGAGAGCAGCTGGCAGAGGCGCGCCGTCGTCTGCAAGTGCGAAGCGCTCGCTTCGGTGAATGCCGACTGCTGCCACAACTGCCACGACACGCCTCTCACTCCAAGCCTCCAACTCGAAGTACCTCCCTTCCCTCGCGGCCGCTCCCTGCCCGCCGCATATCTTCAAGACACGCGGACGGGCCCGCTCCCAAGAGGCGAGGTGCACGGCACGCAGCCGTAATGAGCCTCAGTGGAGGCTCGCTAGGTGAGTGCCCCGACTCGATGGGCCAGCTGTGTATAAGTCACGCAGCAGTCGACGTCGCAGTCTTGGGTGTCGACCGCAGGAGCACGACACTACGGTGGAGTAGGCCGGTCGAGGACAGCGCATACTTCGAGCAGGCGAGCGTCGTCGCAAAGGCACGGCAGTCCGTCGTCTCGAACGGCTCCGTCCAGCTTGCCTACGCCGAGCGGCCCCCGTCAAGTCAGGCGCGCTCGTCAAAGACGTCTTACACTGACGCGCGCCATCTCTCCAACGGCTCTGCACAACCCTCGGCCTCAAACAGTCGGGCTACATCTACTTATGCCACTGCCAGCGACGGCAGTCCTCGGGTACTGTCTGCCTCTCTATCTGTGCCAAAGAGTCGACCGTCATCCAGTCAATCCACCTCGCCTACCACTCGACCTCGGTTCCTCTCCGCATCTCACGCCCGCTTCCACACCACTCCCGCAAGCGCTGTCCCTCGTCGCAACGCCCCCACGGTCATCTCCGCCCCGCCTCCCGTCTTCTCCCAGCTCATCAAGTGCGACATCAATCACCCCTGCACCGGACGAAGACCCGGATGCATTCCACGTGCGCTCGACTCGTCCGCTTGCTCGCGCCCTCGTCCCCTCGCTTTCCCGCTCTCCCCCCTCGTTCGCTTGCCCATCCGCCCGCTTTGCTTGCCCGCTCGCTCGCCCTCTCGCCCTCTCGCCCGCCCTCTCGCCCACCCGCCTGCCCTCTCGCTCGCCCGCCCGCTCGTCCTCTCGCTCGTCCTCTCGCTCGCTCGTCCTCTCGCTCGTCCTCTCGCTCGCCCGCCCGCCCGCTCGCCCTTGCCGGCCTCGTTCTTTTGCTAGCCGACCCGCTCGCTTTCGCCTCTCCCGCCCCCTCTTGCCCACCTGGGAATTCTTGTCCGCTCGCGCACGCGTCCTGCCCGCTCGTTCACGCGTCTTGCCCACCTGTTTTTGCCCACTCGCTCGCTCGACCTCGTACTAGCTTAGGTGAGTACACCGGCGGCGCAAACTTTGTCAGTCCCAGCGACCTCACTGTCAGGCCTGACCGGACTGTCTCACCCCGCTCTCGTCCGCTTCAAATACGGCTTCATGGGCAGCATCATCCGCCAGCTCGAGGAATTCGCCCACCTCTACGACTAACTGATATGCCAAGGTGCTTGTTGAGGTGCGTGCGCCTCTACCACGCATACGTAGGATGCTCGCCGTCGCAGCAAGACAGACGGCCGTGTTGCGCCTCGCCCGCCTTTTCGCCCACTTAGTACTTACCTACTCACCTAGTCGACCACGCGCCTGCTCTTGCCCGGCTGCCCGCTTTCCTTTCCACACGTACCTTCTCGACCCCCTGTCCACTCTCGCCCGTCTGCGTACCTCACGCCTGCCTACCCGCTCTCACCCGCCTGATCTCGCTTTGACTTGCACAACCTGTACTGCTGCAGCGGGTTGGTACCCGGGGTGCCCGGGGTGGGTACGGGTACTGGTTGAGCACGGGACACATGTGTGCTCTGTCTATGCATACAATACTTGTTTTCGTAGTTGTAATACTGTGTCATCTTGCAATCTATTACATTTTATTTGATGTTCTTTCTGTTATATGAGCTGGGGACGACCGAGTGACCAGTATGATCCCATATTATCAGTGCTATGCTTTGAGATGTCTACTATGATGGAATATGTCTCAGTATGTTGGCTTATGGGCCTATAGTACTATCATTCTATTGTGTACTATGCTGTTCTATGTTGACCATGGTGGTACTATGACCTGCTACAGATCACTACAGATTCTGCAAGCATGCTATACACAGGGGGGATTGCAATGAGCCTATACCAACTATGTCCCCTATATTGGCTGACCTAGGGATTGTCATTTTTCCTGATGACTCCTCCTCGGCGCGAATGGCGAGAGAGAGAGACGACGGGGGAAAGAACGTGAAGTACGTAGGGGAAAAATATCGTAGGTGTCGCATGATATGAAGGTATCGCTTGGAATGAGAGAATAGAGGAAACGAGTGTGAAGTGAAAATGTGAATGAATGTGATGCAGTCCGAAAGAGTCCGTAGAGAGAACGCTAGAGGTATCGTAGGAGACTAGATGGGTGACGCTTGAATGGAAAACCGACATGAAAACTCCTCCTGTCTGGGAAATCCTCCTCACCGGGAAAACTCCTTCTCGCATGGAGGCCTGAGTCCCATGAGGCTGCGAAGCATCTGGAAGGGCTTCTTCTCGAGGGCCTTGGTAAAAGCGTCGGCGACGTTGAGGTGAGAAGGGACGTGCTGGATGACAATGCGCTTCGCGGTGACCACCTCGCGCAGGTAGTGCCATTTTATATCGATGTGTTTGACACGAGAGTGGAAGGTAGAGTCGGCCGACAGGGTGATTGCACTGGTACTGTCAACGCGCATAAGGGACGCCGTGGGTTGCGTAAAGCCGAGGCCGTCAAGTAAGAACCGGAGCCAGACACCTTCCTTCGCCGATTCCGCAGCCGCAATGTACTCCGCCTCGGTAGTAGACGTAGATACCGTAGGTTGCTTGCGCGCGGACCAGGAGATGACGCCCGAGCCCAAGTTCCAGCAGTAACCGCCGGTAGAACGGCGCGTGTCGATGCAACTGGCGTGACTGGCATCCGCGTAGCCGTTGAGCGCAGCGACGTTGGCACCACCGAGATGCAGCCTGAAAGTGCGAGTGCCCTTGAGATAGCGAACAACACGCTTGGCCGCCTCCCAGTGAACTTCCGCGTAACAGTCGAGGAATTGACTGAGATGCTGGATAGCGAGGGCGATGTCGGGGCGCGTGCCGATGGCAAGATACATAAGGCATCCAATCAGCGACCGGTAGGGTAGGCGAGCGGCGCGCTCCTTAGCGGCAGGGGTCTTCGGCGAGTGCTGAATGCGCGAGAGGCGCAGACCAGCTTCCATAGGCGTGGACACGGGGGCGCAATCGGGGCCATCCATCCGAAACTGCTTGATGATCCTGTCGATCAAAGCGGTCTGCGAGACGGCAACGGTCCGACGAGCACGGTCGCGGTCGATTTGGATGCCCACGCAGAAGCGAGCCTCGCCCAGGTCAGCGATCTTCCACACGCGGCGCAGGTCGTCTTTGAACTCCTCCTTAGCGGCAGCCGAGCTAGCCGTCAGCAGGAAGTCGTCGACGTGCACACCGGTGAGAACGATGCCCTTCGCTGTCTTGCGATAGTAGACGCAGTACTCGCACGGCAGGCGAGTGAAGCCAATATCCACCAGGTGAGCATTCATGGTGTCGTTCCACGTGCGGCTGCCCTGCTTAGTCCCATAAATGCCACGCACCAGCTCCCAGACCCAGTCTTCCTTGCCCGGCTCCTCGAAGCCCGAGGGCTGCTCCATGTAGCAGTACTCGTCTTCCGGAAGAATGCCGTACAGGAAAGCGGTCTTGACGTCGAGCTGCTCGACTTCCCAGTCCAAGGAGGCGGCAAGGTGGAGAAGAGCACGGAAGGACTCCATGCGCATGGTAGGTGAGGAGGTTCGATTATAGTCCTGCCCGTACACCTGCTGAAAGCCCTTAGCCACCCATCGTGCCTTGAAACGCACCGGATCCCCATTCTCATTACGCTTCAGGCGATAGACGGGCTTCCCTTTCATAACACGACGACCGGCGGGGACCTTAGACCGAGGGATCAGACGGTAAACACCAAGGTCCTTGATGGACTGAAGCTCGTCACTGAGGGCCGCGCGCCACTCGTTGCGAAATGGAGAGGCCTCAGCCTCCGCCAGTGACGCCGGGTCGCCCGGGTACTCGACATTGAGCGGCAATACGTCGTCCTTCGCCAACGCCGCCAACGCAGACTCTATGTCCGGCGGAACGTCAGGAAGCGATCCGACAGCGGCGAGCTCGGGAGGTACGCAGTAAGAAGCCGAGTCTACCACCACGGGAGCGACGTCGGCGACGGGCACGGCAGCGCCAACTGCAGGAATGTGGGGAGGAGGTGGCATAGGTGCCGGTATGCCCGAAGGGGATTGAGGGCGGGAGCGCATCTGGTCCAAAGTACGTGCAAGGCGGGACGCATAAGGCAGACCGTCCGCTTCCGCGCGCTTCTGAGAGGGCAGCGGAATGCGAGATGACCGACGTGGAGCGGGAGAGGCGGGATGCGGCAAGGCGCCCGGCACTGGCGACGGTGCGCGAGCAGGGACCGGCGCAACCAACGGTTCAACGAACGCCGGAGGATCCGGAGAGACCGGACGAGGCGGGAAGAGGTGATCGTCATCGAGTGGAGGCGGAGGTGCAGGTACCACGGAGACAGGTGTGGACACAGGGCTCGAAGGACGGACAGCCGGACCCGGGCCAGCTTCATGGGATTCGATGAACTGGACGTGGTAGGAGTCAACGACCTTGTGAAGCTGCCTATGATAGAGCCTGTACGTCTTAGAATGAGTCCCATACCCGATCAGCACACACTCGACCGACCGCTCGTAGATCTTAGGGTTGTGACGGTTTTGGATGAGCACGAAAGCACAACAACCAATTTCGCGGAGATGCGAAAGGTCCGGCTTCTTGCCATACCATGCCTCGAAAGGAGTCATCCCCCCAGCGACCGAGAAGCAGAACGGATCGAGAGGTAGTTAGCGGTGACCAAGAATTCGTCCCAGCGGTTCGCGGGCACATTCGCAGCGAGACGCATAGCTCGCGCGCGATCCATGATGGTACGATGCAGACGTTCGACGCGGCCATTCTGCGCGGACGTGTGCGGTGCTGTAGTGCGCCATCGGGTGCCACGACTTTCGAGGAAGGCTTTGCA